GATGGACCCTTCCAAGTGCTGGCCAAAATCAACGATAATGCTTACAAAGTTGACTTACCAGGTGAGTATGGTGTGAGTGCTACCTTTAATGTGGCTGACTTATCTTTGTTTGATGCAGGTAATGAAGAATTAACCAATTTGAGGACAAATGCTTCTAAAGAAGGAGGGAATGATGTGGACATAAGGAGTGAAGTCCAGGCCCAAACCCAAGTCCAAGACCAACCGCAGGCCCAAGCAGTCCAAGATCCATTATAAGGCTTAAGAGGGCCCATGAAAAGAGCTAGATCAAGGAAGGCCCAAGAAGCTCTACAACACATGAGCACCATGCTAGAAGTCCAACCCCAATCTGAGGCCCAACACCCAGATGAAGTCTAACACTTGAATTCTAAAGTGTACACATACATAGCCCACTTACAATGAAGGAAGAGTCCAAAGTTTCAATCTGAATTTTGAAGACTTTTTATTTATTTTGGTACTTTGTGTAAAAAAACATGTTATTATGCTTTATTGTCTATTATAGGATTTGAACCCTTGCACCTTAGGATGTAATATGCTCGCTTAACTACTAGAACATATACATCATGTTTGTGCTAAAGGAATTAGTTTTTGTTTTTATATGTCAAGTCCATGTGGACAAACTCCAAAACTGAATTGTACTAAAATACTTGGAAATAATTTTGAGGATATACATGATTGAAATCAGATTATAGTGAGAATTATTCTCTGCTAGGGTTCTTCCTTGCAACCTCCGATCTTATCAAGAATTCATCCGTTCTTGTGGCGATCTTGTTGGCTTATCAAACATCCTTGTTTGTGACGCCTTCCCTATCATATTTCCTTCCTTTTATTCTCTTTACAAGGTATGAATTTCAAATTTTTTTTTCCAATTCTGAATTTTAAGGTTCATAGCATTCTCTTCCAAACAAACCCCAAATTAAGCTTAGAATAACTTTTATCCATATCTTGCATTATACAAATCCAAATTAAGTGATTCTTAAGTCAAAATTAAGGTTCACAACGTGAATATTCCTCTCGTTTTTGAATCACCCATTTTCGAGTTTTGTAACTCGAGATACGTCCTAGTCCTAGTAGGTCCGAAATTCAAGAGGCTTAGGGAAATCCTCATCATGTATTAACCAAAAATCCTCCCCTCTATGGAAAAGCATGGTGTCAGTCTGGGACTGTTTTTATAATGGGTTAGATTGGATTTTAGGTGATGGTTTGACTATCAAGTTTTGAAGGATAATTGGATTTTGCCTAATCAGAATCTATTAAGTTATGTTATTAAAGACATTCCTGATAATGAGTTAAATGATCTTGTTGCCCTTTTTGCTATTCAGGGAGAATGGGATTGGTCTAAAATTAGGAATTGTCTTCCTACTCAGTATTGTGAATTGATAGCTAAGATCAATCCGCCTGTTATATCTGGTGTTCAGGATAGGATGTTTTGGAAGTTTTCTAATGATGGTCACTTTTCTATAAAATCTGCTTACAATTTAATCTCCAATTCTAAGTCTGCATGTTCTAAAAATGCTAATTTATTTAATCTGGTTTGGAATTGGGAGGACACTCCCAGGATTTCTACTTTTTTTTATGGAAAATTGGTCATGGCAAGCTGTTAACTAATGTTGAAAGAGCTAATCGTAATATGATTGATTCTTCTATTTGTTTCAGATGTCAGGAAGCTCTTGAATCTATTATTCATGTTCTCCGTGATTGCTGGACGGCGACAGCTATTTGGAAAAAAATCCTTCCCCCTGATAATTGGTCCCCTTTTTTTAGTCTTGTTCTTTCTAACTGGTTGACTTATAATTTATCTAAATTGAATTTCCCTTTGTACACTATTTGGAATAAACTTTTTGGTGTTGTTGTTTGGAACTTGTGGAGGAATAGAAATTGTGTTCTTTTCCAAAACAACCCTCTGTTTGATGTAGCTCTTCTTCATAAAATTCTGCTTGATTTTGATTATTTCATTTTCTGTGACAGGGATAATCAGAGAAAAAATTCTGGCATTTGGAATAGATATAGTCTTGTTAAGTGGCAGCCTCCTCTTGATGAGCAGCTCAAGCTTAATGTAGATGGTGTTGTTTCTCAATCTATGGGGTTAGCTAGCTGTGGAGACCTAATTCGTGATGGCAAAGGCAGATTTATAAACGGTTTTTACAAGTCTTTAGATTTTTGTACTCCTATTTTGGCTGAGCTTTGGGGTATTTTTTGGGGTCTCCAGCTTGTGATATCCAAAAATATCCATCTTATATGGATTGAGTGTGACTCCAAAGAAGTCATCTCTCTTATTTTAAATGTTCAAGACTGTAGACATCCTTATTTCTCTATTCTTAATAAAATAAGGAATTTGATTAGTAGGATTAAGTTTGTTAGAGTCCAGCATGTCTTGAGAGAAGCAAACCAATGTGCTGATTGGCTTGCTAAGAGTGGTTCTGAGATAGGGTTAGATTGTTATATTTTTTATGAGGCTCCTGAGCATTTAGAACCTTTTTTACATCTTGACTCTCTTGGAGTGTTGCAGCCAAGGCTGCTCTCCTAAGTTGTTGTTTGTTTTGGGTTTTTAAACCACATTTAATAGAAGAAAAAAAATAAAGACAGAATTAAGAAAACATTCTCTGACATATATATATATATATATATATATATATATATATATATGCCGCATTTATTGGCATGAGAAAAAACATGTAATTGTTTGCAATTTATATGGATCTTCTTTAACTTTATTGGTAAGTTTTTTTTGTTGAAACGGGATGAATGGAGTAACATATTCTCGATATAGGGTAACTACAAAACTAATTCATTGGCTAGGGTGAAATTAATATAGTGTCATAAATTTTGTTATCGAAAAACATCTAAAATTTGTTTTTAATGAACAGTGTTAATTTACAAAATAATGACATTAATTTTACATTATTAAAAATTAAAATATCAGTAAAGTAACAATTGATATTAACTAAAATTGGTGTTATGTTTTATAAGTGTCAGCTGAGAATAGTTGAATATAATATTAGATTTTCTTTCGACACTTGTTTTTATTAATAAATTTAAAATATTATATTATTTAAATAAATACTATATATTAAAGATAGAACATGAAATCATTATTATTCATTATCACTAATATTATTAATAAATTTGAAGTGAATAAGAGGATGATTAAAATAATAGAATGTTGAATTAATTTTGAGATGTTGAAAAAAAAATACATATAAAATTGAAATTGTGCGAGAAATGTAATTAATAAACTAATTTCACAAGTTTTAAATATATGTAATGACAAAAATATTGACTATATGATAAGTGCATATTAATAACGACATTAAAAAAATGTAGTTAAGTAATGTGTAGATATTATAGTAGATAGAATTTCTTATGTTGTTGCACAAGTGTTACATTTAAATTTATCATTCTCACATATTAATGTTAGTGACAATAAAAAAGAATATGTAATTAGAAGATGTAATATATAATATTTATTTAAATAATATAATATTTTAAAGAAAAAAATATTCTTACACTGATATAAAAAGATACTACTCCTATTTTAAATTTACTAATTTATTAATAAATACAAGTGTTGCAAGAAAATAAGCCTACAAATATCATATATACGAGTGTCACTTATACTACGTGATATAAATTTTAGTTAGTATTGATTGTTACTTTATTGATATTTTAATTTTTAATAATATAAAATTTATGTGGATATTTTGTAAACTAACATTGTTTATGAAAAAAAATTAAATGTGTGTTGGTAACAAAATTTACATAGGAAGTTTTAGATTAACAAATTTTACTTTCAATAGAGGTTAAAAAAATACTAATCTAATTAACAAACAACAAATTTGGTACAATTATACGGTGAAAAATAAATTCAAATAAAAAAACAACTACCAATTTACATTTTAAGCAAAACAATACAATCTTAAAGAGTGTTTTTTTTTTTTTTTAAAATTATACTTTACCTCATTTTTTTCCCTTCATATGACAATGATTTCTAGTAAAGTTTAAAAAAATGTTGTAAAATATTACTACAAAATCTCTTTTGTCAATCACAAAGTAGAAATCAATCTTTGAAAGCATAAATAAAAGGAAAATAGAAATCACTAGCTATCACATGTCTTGGACAGTTCTTCTTTTCTTACATTAAAAATAGAATTCATTTTCAAAATAGTTTATGTTGTTTATTAAAACAGTAGTAAATTTTATTTATATTGGACATTATCTTTTATTTTAAATCGTGTTCTTACATTTTAATTTATTTTCTTTATATAAAAAATATATAAATCTTTATCTTTAGTCATAATATATATTTTTTGTTTTAATTTTTACATAAAAGAATACAGAATTATTATTATAGTTTCAACAGATAATGAGAACTAAAATACACAGGAATTGTAAATTTTTTAATACATAGATTAAAATATATAACTTTTTATATAAAAATTAAATTAAATATACAGAGTTTAGTATCATTAACATTAAATATTTCAAAAATATGTTATATTTGAGGGGAACATTATCAAATATAAAATATTATTTATTTGCCAATTTTTTTGAAAAATATTAATACATCCATCTTACCAAACATTATATAAATTACTTGGATTGGAACTTTACGCCAATTTTATCATAATAAATCAAAAGAAACCTTTTTTTATATAAAGTTTAAAAATTACAAATAATAAAAAATGATAAACATTATAGATATTTTCATATATTTTTTATATTTTTTCAAAAATTTTCTAATAATGTGATCATATGATGTTTTCCAAGAGTATTCATATACAATATACTTCTTTTTCAAAGAACAAATTTCATAAACATTTTCTTAAAATGTAAACTAATTACACCAAATAATTTTACAGAATTATTTCAGCTGCGTTAATTTCTAAAATTATAATTCGAATTCTACGAAAAAAAACTTTAAACCCAATATAACATATCATTTATCATGCAATATAAAATTATTTGAAGCTCATGTTTATTTCAGAACAAAATTGCACAAAATTAAACCCTGCTTCTATGCCCTAACTACGCCATTGCTGAGTTAGGGCTTCTCTATTCCGTTCTCTGCTTCAAATCAGCGTCTCAATTTCAACAATCGGAGACACCAAACCTCTGAATAAATCGAAAAACTGAAAACATTTGTTTGGTGACGATGACATTACGCTATGCAATGGTGTGTTCTTCGAATCAGAACCGAAGCATGGAGGCTCATTTCCTTCTCAAGAAGCATGGTTTTGACGTGTGTTCTTATGGAACTGGTGCCCACGTTAAGCTCCCTGGCCCCTCCCTCAGAGAACCCAATGTCTACGACTTCGGAACACCATACAAGCACATGATTGATGACCTTCGCAGAAAAGACCCCGAACTGTATCCTCTTGTTTTCTCTTTGTTTTCTTCTACCCTTTTGTGTTTTTTGCCCGAATATGAAATTCTAAACTTGTGGGGTTGCTTCAAATGAAGAAAGTTTAGGTTTTTTTTTTTGTTGCAATAGTTCACTTTTTGATCTGTTAGTGTTTTTCATGGTGAATTGAATGGGATACTAAGGTTCTGTTTGGATAAACAGTAAACTTACTTGACTAAATCTTATTACATGCATAAATTGGGTGAAATTTACTGGAATAAGTTAACGAGAACTTATTTCCGTAAGCTGGGGGGTTTGGAAAAGGTTATGAAAATAGCTTATATGCTTATTTCAATAAGCTTAGAGCTTAAAGAATAAGCACTTTGCATTGTAAGGAATTTTATTGTCAAATTTATAGGATAAGCTATCATACGAAAAGAACTTATTGAATAAACACTCCAAATGCATCCTAAGAAGCCAATTGACATGAGTTAAAAAGAGTTTACCAGAGTTGTAAGATATTTTTATAAGCTTCTTGCAAGCTTTTATTTTTTGGTCAAATTATAAGCTTAAGTAGATGAATGCATGCACTAGTGTATGCTGTTTATGTATCTATCTATTGTTGGACTTTTGTGTTGGCTTATGCCTTTACTTTGCACTTGTGTTCTTGTTCCTTGTTGTGTGTGGTGTGGTGAATGGATGGAACCTTTACTAGAGTGCAGCTACAAGCGAAATTCAATCTTGCCAATGCTTAAAAGAAATTCGACAGTCAAATTGGCGCCCCAACGGTGGCAAGAAAATGCTGCTGATGGCTCTTTTGATGTGGTATTTACATTTGAAGAAAAAGTATTTGATATGGTTGTTGAAGGTTAATTTTCTTCCTGATTCGTTTCATTCTGTTTTCTGATTGTTGATTGTTCTGATGTAACTGAATATAAAATTGGGTTGTAGGATATTTGAGTTTGAGTAACTTTTAGATGGATTTATACTTTGCTAGCTATATAAACCTTCTTCAGCTTTGCATTACGTTGGTCAATAAGCCATGCTTGGGTTTTAAGCTGAGATGTCTATCAGTAGTGTTATAGGGAAGTTTGAAAGAGATATTTCATGGCCCTGATTTTGGAGTGGATTTTGAACTAATTAAGAGAACAAGAAAGATGGGTGTTTGCACCCCCAAATTTGTGAGGAGGTTGCAATATCATTTTTTTTCTCTCCCCTTGTTCTTATCAGCAGAGTTGCAAATGCAGTGAACTACACTAATATTCTGTGTTCACATAAGATAATGTTTTATGGCTGTTGGCTGATCTCTGGTTGTTGTTAGGCATGATAATTTTTTAATTAATTATTTAAAGTATGATTTGCCTTACAAAAAATTTTAGTTGCAAGATTATAGAGTTGTGCATACTTGATTGCTTGATGTTTCGTATTTTTTAGCATTTTATTATATTTTTCTAGTTTTGGCTAAAGTTATTGTTTAATTGAAATTCACAAAGCTGTCAAGTTATTTTCAAAGTCCTTCTATGAATATTGTTGTGTTGTCTATCTAGTAAATTGTCTACCATATGGAAAGTTTAGCATATGGACATGTGAAATGAAGACCATATTGCCCAATGGCTCTGCAGTTATATCATACTTGTGTTTGACAGCTATCTAACTTCAACAATGTGCAGATCTCCACAATAGAGATCAAGTTTTAATGAAAAGTGTGCTGGTAGTCAACTTGGAGGTAAAAGATAATCATGATGAAGCAGCGGTAGGAGCGAGGCTTACTTTAGATCTATGTCAGGAGGTTTGTCTCTCTTGCAACACACATTTTCTTTGTATTAATAGTATATGTAAACTTCTGTTTGACTTCTTGAGAAGCTTTGAATGTGGGAGATCAATGCAACCAGATGGGATAATTTGAAATGCCCCATAAGAATTTGAGCAAATTACATTCAGTCTCTCTGAGGTTTAACAAAATTTTGCTTGACACCCTTCCTTTATTTTACATTACTTTAACCTCCCCTGACTCATAACTGCATAAGAAATCAGGGATGCTCTGAAATCGATAAGGGTATGCAGTGTTATGTTACATAAATTAAGGGGGTTTTGTGTAGGGCGAAGAAAAGGTGTATTGGGTGAAATTTTGTTAAACCTCGACGCACGGAATGTAATTTGTCCTAAGAATTTTACATGTTCTGATATGAAGATGACCCCTTTTTTTACTTTCTCTTAAATGTTTTTATGTTTCATAGAATGAAAGATATATTTTATGCATAGATTGAAGCTGCTGAGTCATGGGAGGAGTCAATTGATGACATTGTTGCTGGTTTTGAGAAACAGCATCGGCGGAAGCTTTTGTACAGCATCTCCTTCTACTAAACACATCCCAGTTTCCCTAGAAAAATAATTGTTACGCTAATTGAATACTTAATGTTTTGATTAAGCATAACATTAGTTTTTGATACCAATCAATTCCAAGAATGAAAATGAAACAGCAAAATGAAAAAGAAACATTGTGTGTATTATTGAAATATTAAGGAAATTCAGTAGCAAAGACTACTGCACTGAGCCAAATAGAAGTCTAAGACTAGGGTCAATTTTAACACATCTTAACTATGCCTAATAGTTTAAAATTAATTTTGTAATTTACTTTAAAACAAGTTGGTCCTTAGCCTTAAAGAGTGTGTTAAACTATAATACATTTCTTAAACAGAAGTATAGCTAATTAAATGTCAATATGATTTTACTTGTGCTAGCTTGTTTCTGTAATTTTTTTAGCATCATGAGGGATCATGTTGGAGTCTTGATGTAAATTGAATCGATTTTGTCTGGCTCCCTGTTCTGTTTTGGGATTGTAAAGAGCAGATTATTGGGGAACATTTGAATGGTGTAGTTCATGTAAATATTAATGATATTGTTTCAGTGTCTATCAAATTTTCTCATGGAGAGCGTTAAAAGTAAAACTTGGATTTTGACTATTTAAAAATTGTTGTATGTAATAATTTTTACCTTATAGTTAATTTGTTCAACTTAAGTGACTGCCTAATGAGGGAGATGAGTTTTTCTTTTCAAAGGTTCATAGATAAAAAAAAATGTTTAACGACATTTATGAGTAAAATATGTTAAATAATGAAAGTATTACAGAAATGCATAACACACATAAAAGAAAAGCAAGTATATACAAATTAAACTATTTTAACCATCCTAAGCATTATAAGTACAATAAAATCAAAATCAAGAACAAATGCAAAATAACAGAAGGAGACTTTATCATCTCGTGTAGGCAAAATCAATGGAAACTTTGTACTACGATGGACCTTCCTGTAAAGGTAGGCCCATTACATCATTGTGAAAAATAAAATAAACATATCCTCAAGAGCGAATGTTCTATTTAATTAGTGAAAGTTACATATCCCCAAATGAAGTGATAAGGGTTCTAGAATGACACTCATCTATCTGTCTATTTAAGAATATAATTTACACAATAACATTTAATGTCATATTTATTAAATATAATGCATAATTACTTTAATGAAAATGTTATATTAAATATAACAATAGAATTAAATTTTATATTTATTAATTATAATAATTCTATTAGATGAATGTGTCTATTGTTATTTTTCAGTATTTATCATCACTTTTATTTAAACAAATTTTGTTTAAAATATTTCTTCTCTTATAACCATATTCATAGGAGAAATTTTTTTCATATATACTTTTTTAAATAAGATTAACAATATACATAAAGTGGTAATAGACACTCCCTTATCATATGAATGGATTTTATGTTAGAAATAATTATTTTAAATTTTAATTAAACATAAATTAATTATTACAAATTAATTTAATATCTAAAAGTATATATATTATAATATGCACTGAAAAGTTTATTATTTTTATTATCATTTAGCAAATTGACTGTATATTGATACTTAATGTGATATTTATTAATTATATATATTTATTGCATGAATGGTTTATCATATTAGTAAATTTAAACATAAAATAATATTATATTTATCAAATATAATATACAGTAAAATAAAATAATATAATTAAATACTGTGCAAGTAGAATTTTATTCTATTATATTAACGTAGCATTAAATATTATATTATATTATAAGTAAGTCAAATTGTCTGTATGTCAGTGTATTTATTAACTATACTGTATTTACTAGATGAATGGCTTTACACGTAAAAATTACCAATAAATAAAAAATTAATTTATTTGAAATTTAATCCCTAAAATCATTAGCTAAAATGTGTAATAATACATGTTGACGGTGGAGAAATATTCACAATTAAAATTTATTTTAACACGAGTAATAACATTAAGGTAATGTATATTTAAATGAATATTATTGAGCATCTGAATTAATTTAGAGTTTTGAGTTCGAGTTTAAGTTAATGCAATAATAAAGTATTTAATGAATAATTTTAACATATATATTTGGTGTATTTTATTTAATTAATTTTGCTAAAAATATTAACAATTTATATAATTAATTTCAATGAAAAACATTACACCAAAAATATCGATTTAAAAAATTATCTATACTACATTATGGCTTGATAAAAAAAACTAATCTTTTAACATATTTTATATTCATATAAATCTGTGTAACAGAGTATTAAATCTAAGTTAAGATATTTCCTTGAACAGAGTAAAGGAACTAATCTCTTAGCTTATTAATCACTTAATTTGATACATAATACCTAATTTGGCATGTAATGGTGAGTCTCTTTTAGCTCGAATAAGGATATGATTGATTAGGTCGCATAACAAATTACAAAACAAACAAAGGTTAAGTCATAAGTTTATTACTCATTTTCTCTTTAGTCCGAATTAGGCCTACCCAATTATTTGCATTTGATTAGTAAATAAATAACTGTTCAAATGGTGTAAAAGTAAAATTAATAGTTTTATATTTTGGGAGATTGACCAAGCTCATTTCAAAATTGAACGCAAGACTGTGCCAAATTTACAAAGAACCTTCCCAGAATCCTAGGTCGTAGCACAGATCAGCTTATACCCTTTTTATTAATATAATAGCAGTATTAAATATTATAATTTATAATCAACAGTTATTATTTATTATTTTTTTATGTTTTACTTTTAGACACACGTTGAAAAGGTTGTATATTATAGTATTTATTTTGTTATATATTCCATTTACTTAATTTAAAATTGTATATAATTTTACTTCAGTTTTTTTTCTTTTTAATTTATTAAGTACTTTCATAAAAGTTTTTTAATTTTAATTTTAAATTTCTCACTTTTACTCAAAACTCATCGATGTTAATTTATAAAATTTTAAAATTATTTCATATATTTAATTTTTTCATAACTTTAAAAATATTTAAAAATAAAAAAATAAAATATTTTAATTTTAAAACTAGAAAATTCAATTAACTTAAAAAAATTTATACAATTCACACCAAGCAAATTAAAAGTATATTTGAATCCATATTATTATTATTATGTATTAAAAAATAAATGTAAATATTAACTCAGGGTGACGTAAAAAATAACGGAATCACTGAAGGGAGACAGAGTCTGCCGTTAAATGCCTCCGTTTACTTTTTCTTCTGCCAACTGCTGCAAGCTGACAACTAAACACTGAGAGACTCATTCACTTTTCTATCTCTCTCTCTCTCTCTCTCTGATCGAAAAGATGATGAAACCTTTTCGTTGATTCCCTCGAAAACTCTCACACTTTCCTTCACATTTTCCCGCACTTTCTCGCCATCCAAACACTCTCTCCAAACCCTAAAATGGCCTCCGAATCCGCCGAAGAAGACAAAACCTGGGAGGACGTCCTCCGCCGGATGCTGCCGGCCGGCGCACCCTTGCCGGACGAGGAACACCTGGACTACTCCATCGCCGTCGAGTACGAAGGTCCTCCTGTTCCCTATGACGTTCCGAAAGTCGATCCGCTCGAAATCGGCGCCGCCGCCGTTCCGATTCGCACGTCTTCCATCGCCTCCGATCACGCCGGAGCTTCGATTCCGGTCGCCATGCCGATACATCCGCGATTCTCACGGTTCAGCCGAGTCCGCAACGGTTTCGACCGGGCTCCGCGGAGTCCGGTCGAGAGTCAAAGGTCATCTTCGGTTTCCAGGTCTCAGTCTCACTTTGATACGCGCAGTGGCGAGGTTTATCGCTCCGATTTTTCCGGCGATGCGAACGCCGACGACGGCGTGAGCTCTGCCTCGTCTCCGCGGGAGTCGATGACGCCTCCGAATTCCGCTCCGGCTCCACGAAGCGGCGCCGTTGAAGGAAAACGCCCGACGACGGTGACCTTCAATACACCGAAGGATTCTGATGATGACGACGATGACGGTTATCAATCGCCGCGGTCTGTGGCGACGGAACCAGTTGGTTCGCCGGTTGCGGCATCGGCCGTGGCTGCGCGAAACGCGAACAGGAAGTGGTGGATTTGCAGTAGGTGTGGGAATGGGAACAGGTTGAAGGAGAAGGAAGCGTGTTTGGTGTGTGATGCAAGGTATTGCAGTAACTGTGTGTTGAAGGCGATGGGATCAATGCCTGAGGGAAGAAAATGTGTGAGCTGCATTGGGCATCCTATAGAGGAATCCAAGAGGTCTAGCTTAGGGAAGTGTTCTAGAATGTTGTCTAGAGTGTGTAGTCCTTTGGAGATTAATCAGATAATGAAGGCTGAAAAGGAGTGTCCTGCGAATCAGCTTCGGCCAGAGCAGCTTATTGTCAATGGCAGGCAGTTAAGGCAAGAAGAGTTGACTGAGATTCTGGGTTGTCCCATCCCTCCTCAGAAGCTGAAGCCTGGGAGGTATTGGTATGATAAGGATTCTGGACTTTGGGGCAAGGTGAAAATGGAAAAGAAAAATTTTAGTTTTGAGATGTGATGTTTTGTGTTTCTTTTTCGTTACATGTAGGAACTAGTGTTTTTGGATTGCTTTGTTATTGTTTTGCTTGATTTGGATGTGATGGATTTCAGGAGGGAGAAAAGCCTGATAAGATCATAAGTTCAAAGCTGAATATTGGTGGCAAACTTCAGACTGAAGCAAGCAATGGGAATACTAGAGTCTACATGAATGGCCGTGAAATAACAAAGATTGAGCTTAGAATGTTAAAGGTAATCAATAATTGTGTTTCTCCATGCATCTGGCTTGGATTCAGTTTTTAATGAAATAGTAAAACATGGAAGTTGGTAAATGTACTAGAAGGCTAGATACCAACTTCTGCAGCCGAGCATTAATCTTTTCTACCTTGGGCTTCAGTAAAGGTTCCGTGTAAAGTATCACGCAGGAATATTAATTGTAGTATTTTGCAAGTTTAAAGGCAAACCATCAACTAAGAAATAAACTCAAATGAAGGTAGACCTGTGTTATTATCAGTCATCTTCTGGCCATATCTGTTTCTAAGCTTTTAAGTGTCTGGACTTCGCATGTTATTTCAAATTATTACCAAACACTACCAATATTTTTTAGAAAAAGGCATTATATAAGCTACTATATTTGCAGGGTAAAAACATTGCCAATTCAGAAGATCATGTATAGTAATCCTGGAAATGCATTTAAATTTTTCCCTTTTAAATTAAGAGATACATATTTCAAACATTTAAGCTACCTGATTATTAATGGTATGGTACTATAAGTCTAGAATCATGTGCGTCCAATTAAATACTTAAATGTTTAACGCAACCCTAACTTCTACTTGTTGACAATCAAGTTTAATATGGCTTCTGAATCCGTAGATTTGGTGTATAATGAATTCCTTCAAATTTTCTGTTGTTATATTTGTATGTAAAATGTCTACTTTGACCAAGTATTTTTTTTTTCCTGCTCTCTATTATTTCTCCGATGTCCTTTTTCCTATTCTACACATCTTTCTATCTCTTGAAGAACAATGCTTGCCAAAGCAATGTAAGATGCTGTGAAGCTTTTCCTTAAAGGAGGACAGCAAGAACCTTTCAATGAACAAATCTGCTCCCCTCTATTAAATGCATTTAGACTACCTTAAGTGATAGAAATCTTGAATCTTGTCTTTCTCAGTCCTGTAGATATGATATTGTTCTAATCATATACCATTAACCTCTGATGTTTCAGTTTTCGTCTTTATATCTAACTGCATTGGATATCTGCAAATTGTATTTTGTTTACCTGTTTGTAATTCATTTATTTTATCATCTCATCATTGATTTACTAGTAACCTGTTGGCTATAATTTCAGCTAGCAAATGTTCAATGCCCGCGAGACACCCATTTCTGGGTTTATGATGATGGATCTTATGAGGAAGAAGGCCAAAATAATATTAAGGGGAACATATGGGGAAAGGTTCTCTCTTATCTGATAATATTTATTTACTACTGTTCAATTTGAGCTTGAAAGTGAATATCTTGATTTGGTTTTTTATATTATATTAGTTTGGTTTATGGTAGGCAGGCGTCCACTCGTTTCATTTGTTCGTTATTCTCATTGCCTGTACCTCCTACTAATCCTCCTGGGGTCAGAGAAAATTCAACTAACTATTCGACAAGATCTGTGCCTGAATACTTGGAGAATGCTCGAGTTCAGAAACTTTTGTTGTTTGGCATGGAAGGGTCTGGAACAGCCACCCTCTTTAAACAGGCATGCTCATTTCCTTTCCATTTCACTTCTCCCATCTCTCTAGCCCTTTGTGTCTCATAGTTGCATGTATTCATATCTCTCCATGCATGTTAACTTTAGTATGGCTGGTTTTGGTATCAACATCTTTGACTTTCCCTTTTTTCCTGACAAAGGACTTTAGTGAAGAGTCATAATTTAAGTGCTCGGTTTGTAGAGCAATGGTTGCTGGTGGACTGCCATTTATAATGTAATATACTATAGATTAGATTCCTTGAGTTTTAGATATATATGCGATCTATCCACACACTCACAAAAATATGTTGTTCAGCTATCAGCTATGTATTTGCTTATGTATGGATGATAGGTGTGCATACATGCATACATACCAATAGTTCTATGTATGAATGTTATGCATGCTTGCCACATTCATAAGATGTTCTAATGTGTACTCTGCGATGTATACTTAGATAAGTTAGATGTGTATGTTAATAAGAAGTTTTATTTTATATTTTCAATTCTTCTAATGTGTATGTTCTTGGCTTACGGATAATGGAAACCCATCCTCACCCTTCTTTTTATTTGAGTGGTTTTTCATATGCCTATTATGGTTTGGTTTTTTCAGTGTACAAGTGGCAGATTTTTTTAACTGAAGACTGCATTATTTAAGTTTACATGGTTATGACACTTTTTCTTTTTCTCATCTTGCAAAGGGCAAAGGTTATTTTATCTATTTACCTGGTGTTAGTGCTATGGTACTGATTGATTTTATTTTATTATTTCTATGTTTTCATTGTAAGAATATTCTAATTCCCTATCCTTGGAACAGGCCAAGTTTTTATATGGAAATAAGTTTACTGCAGAGGAGTTGCAAAACATCAAGCTTATGATTCAAAGCAATATGTACAAGTACCTCAGCATTCTGCTTGAAGGACGAGAGCAATTTGAAGAGGAGGCTGTGGCAGAGAGAGAATCTATTTCATCAGAAGGCGAAGGATCTGGACCAGGTACAATTTTGCTTTCATTCCCACTCTTCCCTTTCTGATGGTACTGATTCTCTTTTAAGTGCCACTGGCTTACTGGTATTTGGCATTTGTTATTATTCTCTAGTCCTTAAGTGCTTTTGCTTTTTTGTGTGTAAGAGATTGTGAAAAAAATGAAAAGGTTTTGATAACTGTTCACATTTGTTCTATATATTTCTTTAGTTATAATTTATAGTAGATGTTTTAAATTTAAATTTTAGTACTGATCCTGATTGAATAGGCTAAAAATATATTTTTTCTAAGTGATGTTTATTGCTTTATAAAATCTCATAGGCATTTTCTCTATGTATTTCTTACTTTCACTAGCTCAACTTGTTTGTCAATCTTCCTTCATGGTTTGTCTGCCTCAAATTATTGTTCAGTCAATAACTCAAAGGCAACTAATAGTATTAGTAACAACTTCCACTGGGGCTTTTCTCACTGGGTGGGTCAAGAACATGGATTGATTGACAGTTTGACACCATTGGCCTTTCAGAAAAACCAAATTTTGATAAAATCCATTTAAATAAGGTCCTTTCCAACGATTACTTGCTGTTTTATTAGGAGTTCTTTCTTGTCCATTATTTGCTCCAACTATGAGGGTTATAACTGGTATATTGGATCATTTGTCCTTTTAAGCAACAATTTTCAAGTTAGCAATTCTTGATCCTGTATCACTGCTTCCCATGTGGATTTTGTGTAGTCTTTGGAGAAGCTAGAGCTGAGTGAATCTAATTTTGCAATAAATTTAACTGAAACAGCAGCTGACGAAAACAGGCAGGGCATTTACTCAATCAATCAAAGGTTCAAGCATTTTTCTGATTGGTTGCTTGATATCATGGCCACTGGAGATTTGGAGGCTTTCTTTCCTGCTGCAACACGCGAGTATGCTCCTATGGTAGATGAGATCTGGAGAGATCCAGCTGTTCAGGAAACATACAAGAGAAGAGAGGAATTGCATAATCTTCCTGAAGTTGCTAAATATTTCTTAGATCGGGTATAACTCTACTATTTCTTTTTTACCATTTTGCCTTATTGTTCTTGATATTTGATAAGTATTCAAGGGTGTTGTCTTGTATATTTCTTTGTACCTGAGGATACTAGCTGTTAATCATTATTATCTTAGATATAAATATTTTTCATTTAAAAATATATGCAGCTGGCTCCACTGCTTTTGTGAACTATTATTACACATTATTTTTTCTTAATATTGCTATGCTTGTAAAAGCTAATATGATGAACTTATAGAAACAAAATGAAACACTAGAGGTGAGAAAAAAGGAGTGTCAGTTTTTTTTTTTCCTGGTTTCAATATAGAAATTTAAATGCTAAATATAATCTACCATTGAAGAGATGCAACGTATGTAACTTCTCTGGCTTTAGGAAGAAACCTGAATTGAAAAAGCGGTGTATGCCAAGAAGATTGGATATGTAAATATAGTTGGGTGGGAACAATTATCTGGAAATGTCTTTTTTCCTTAAAAAGGAAGAGTTTACAAAGTTTCCATTTATAGTTTAAAAAGAAATAATTTGAAATGAATGATAGGTGAAATATGTTAGCACTTTAGAATGACTGAATGAAACTTCCTATGGACCTAACCCAGTGGCTATGTTCACTAAATCACTTCTCCTTTGGGTTTACCTTTTAGTAGCATTCATTCAAGCATTTAGTATGAGGTGGCAGCTTATTTAATGCAATGCTAATTCCGAAAGTTTTTGGTTGCATATTGTCATTATGTAGCATTTGATAAAAGTAAAAGTAGTCTCTCGTGAAGTTCTACCCTACGGTTTGAGCCCATTTAGCATGCATTGATACTAAATTACTAATTTGTTCTAAATATTCTGACAAATTGTGTTTATAAGAGAAGTATCATATCATATGCATGGCTATTTCCTCTTTAGCGTAACCTTTTAAATTAAAGTGATGCATTGAAACAAGATTCAATTCCAAGAACAAGAGGTTCCTGAAACACCTTGTTGCAAGTTGAGTCTTGGCTCATTGGCAACACTGATAGATATATTGTTACTGTGTCGAAGAATTATGTATAAGTTGCTTGGGCTACTTTCTACAAGTATTGAATGGTGTAAGTATTTTCTTTTATAAATTGACCCTCATCCTATATGATTATAGAGACAGACATCCAATCATAAATATCTATTGAACATTAAACTACATTGGAAAAGAGAAAGTTTGGAAATTGTAACTGCTTCCATATTAATAGTAAAAGCGTAAATTATCTTAACTGAAGATTGAGAGTATGCTATATTAGTTGATTATGTTTAGTTGTTTAAGATTTTATAAATGGCAAGGTGTCTATCATTTTGACAAGTAATTATGTACTTCAATACAACTTCAAATGAGCTACAGATCTCCTAATAGGTATAAGGTAATCAATTAAGGTGTGTATCTAACATTTGTTTAAGAATATTCCTGTCCTGGCATGCCTCAATTCATGGTAGTATTTAATGTTAAAACTTTTTAGAAATCCTAAATCATCAGACCATTGGTTGAGAAACTGAAACCAAATACAATGCAGTCTATTAAAATTCTGATTTGGAAAACTGCCAGTCTAACATTTGAGCTCTTGTTAATATGTAAGTTTCAAATGAGTGCAAGTCTTAAATACATTATTAATATATAGCACATATATGTCGTGCTCTTGTTGCCGCTGCTGTGTATCATAGAGATTGCTTCCAAAGCACACACGTTTGTGTGCATGGGTGTGTATGTATGTCTAATTAATGCATGAATCGATATTTAACTCCCTAGTTTTTAGTGCATATTTTAAAATTTTTTATTATAATATTGCCATCTTGGAAAGCCTACAATTGGATATCCACTATCCGTCGTTGTTGTGATGTATGCTATTTTCTGTATGAATTGAAGATTGAGAACTTAACCTACAAAAGAATATCTGAAGTGCTTTGTAAATTTTAAATATCATGATCTGTAGGCTGTATGACTCCTCCCTCTCCTACTATGCAGTGTATCTAAATTTGGATGATATAATGATAAATGTTTTTGTCTTTCCCCTTTTCTGATATAATATGTGCCTAGGTTAAATAGGATTGGAGTTTACTAACTTTAAGTTTCATTTGTCTTGCTTTTATTATTTTCATTTGTCATTTGTCTCTGGCTAATAATTCATAAAACAAATTCATTATATATTGACCTTCACCATGTGTTCTGTTGTCGAGATGTCTGATCCTATCTGATGATTTTATTCTGCACAGGCAATAGAAATATCGAGCAATGAGTATGAACCTTCTGATAAGGACATATTATATGCTGAAGGAGTCACTCAGAGTAATGGTCTTGCCTTCATGGAATTCTCATTTGATGATAGGAGTCCCATGTCAGAGATATACAGTGAAAACATAAATTGCCCTCCTCCGTTAACCAAGTAAAATCACTTCCATCTCCTTTTCTCGTTTTGTGGAAGCTTTTGAAAATGTTCTTAACTCCTTATCATTGTCGCTGTCTCAGATATCAACTGATTCGCATAAATTCAAAGGGACTGCGTGATGGTTGCAAATGGTTGGAAATGTTTGAAGATGTGAGGGTAATCCTATTTTGTGTTGCCCTGAGTGATTACGATCAGGTGTGGCCGAATAGCACTGGTCAGCTTAGTAACAAATTGCTGGCAAGCAAAGATCTTTTCGAGAATCTGGTGAGGCATCCTTGTTTTAAAGACACCCCATTTGTGCTTCTGCTAAACAAATATGATGTCTTTGAAGAAAAGATAAACAAAGTTCCTCTGTCAACTTGTGAGTGGTTTGGGGACTTCTGTCCCGTGAGACCCCATCACAACAATCATGCCCTGGCACAACAAGCGTATTACTATGTGGCTGTGAGATTCAAAGAGCTTTATTATGCCCTAACTGGCCAGAAGTTGTTTGTGGGGCAAACTCGAGCTCGAGATCGTGCCTCAGTTGATGAAGCATTCAAATACATAAGGGAGATCATCAAATGGGACGATGAGAAGGATGATGATATCTATGAAATCAATCCAGAAGAGTCATTTTACAGTACAGAAATGAGTTCATCTCCATTCGTGAGACAGGAATGAGTTCCCAAGTCCCATCGTTTGTTAACCCTTGAGACTAAGTGATGAGAGTCTCAACTCAACGCTCCAAAGAATTTGTTGGGAGCATTGCATTTATTGAAGGAAGGGCAGTGAGTTTTGTTGGCTGGGCTGTGTCGAGTATGCTGTTTTGTTTTGTTCTGTAGGATTTTCTTGAACGGGTTCAGAATGATTTTTGCCCCATCATAAATTAGCTAATTTGCTTCAGAGGTTGTAAATTCAGAGGTGATTTGTTGTCTGTACAGCTTATATTGACAATATTGTTCAGCTTAAATTACAAATAAAAAAGCGGTATTTTTTTCAAGGTATACGCGAGGAATAGAAAGCTTGTATTTAATATTTGATATAAATTATTTTATTAGTAATAATAATACAAATTAAATATAAAAATGTAGTGGTCAAAAGTTTTAATTTTGGAATATCTTAAAGTTTGTTTAAATAATAGAAGATTATTTTTGCTGCTTAAAATATTAATTTTGTTAAATTGCTTCTTTTTTTTATTAATCTTTGTCATATTTGCAACTTCTTTTTTTCACCTATTTTCCTTCTTCTTTTTTCTCTTTATTTTCTTATTTTTATTTTCTTTCTTTCTTCTTTCTCTTCGTTCCCCTGTTATGTGGTGGAAAATCTTAAATGCAGAAGTAGGAACAATTTCAACTTGTGTTTAACCAAAGTTACTCATGCAAATTCAACTATATGTTTTTTTTTTTTTTTTTCAAAATATCAAAAGAAGAAGAAGCAATATGATAAGAGAAAGATAAAGGAGAAGGGAAAGAAGTGGGGAGAAAGATGAATATACATGTGATAAAATAAAATAAAAAATTTAACAAAATTAACATTTTGAGTCAACACAAAAGTATTTATGGAAATATATAATTTTCCAATACTAAAGGAGTTGATACATAAATGAAAGTTAATAATGGAAATAAAATTTTCAAAAAAATTAAAGGAAGTTTAAAAAAATAAAAATAGGTGCAAAAAGCAAAGCCTCCATTTTATCCATAAGATATATATATTAATAAAAAAAATGAATGGTTAGGGGATATGCAATAGTAAAAAAGGAGAAAAAAAAAACATGATAAGGTGATAAATTTTTTTAAATGAATAATATATAAAAAAAACTGTAAATAAATGTAAATGAAAGTCGGTTGAACACAAATAGTCAGTGAAATGTAATTAACAAATTTATAATAAGCAAAAACTAAAATGTTTAAATAAATCTAAATAGAAATTAAGTTAAAAAAATTTAATCCAATAAAAAAAGTGAGTTTTAGTGGTCATAAATAGATATATACTTTTGGAAATAAAAATATAATTAAAATGTAATTTTTTAATTAATAGACTCTACAATGTAAAGATTTTAGAAGGACTAAACCGTAATTATGGATATCCGCTGGTTCATGTGTAGAAGTTTTGTAATGGTATGTTACATGCTATCCACTCATAACCAAGGATAATCAAATTCCTTGTTTGCCAATTATCTTCCAAAATTGCAAAGTATTGTCATTATGGAATAACACATTTTCTAATTTTTAATTTTTAATTTTTTTAATCAATATTCATATCTCCTTCTAATATATTTTTATTCATCTCTCTCTCTTTATATATATATATATATATATATATATATATATATATATAATTGTGTGAATAATCCGTGAGAAGAAAATTACAAACAAAACTATTATATTCTATGAAAGTGAATTCAAATTTATTATATAAAAATGAATAACTGTGTATAAAGGTGAGTAACTAGTTAGCCTATTTTTTTCTCATAGTTTTTTTTTTAAAAAGAAACATATTAACATATAATCTCTAGGATTGAATTTAACTAGCTAATAGTGATAAGATTTTATTATAAAAATATTTATTACACTTAAGTTTTTTAAAAAATAAAAACTTAAAATTAACAAAATTATTTTTAAAACATGGAATCAGAGTATAGTTCATGAAGTCAGTAAATGATTTAAAATTAAAAAAAAGAAAAGAAAAGAAAAAGGGTGGTTCCATGTTGGCCGGCAGGTGTTGAGATAATTGTATTTTTCTGACTTCATATTCATACCTAACTGGGCCGACCTATGCTTACTCCCAATTCCTTATCGCTCTTACATTAAATAATTATTCATTTTTCTATCTTAGTCAAACCAATTACTTTCATTTTCACTTTTCCTATTAATCTTTAATATATAATAAGTTTCAGTTTGATTTATAAATTGAAAAAAAAAATTAGATTAGAAATAAAAAAGTAAAATTCATGTAATTTTTATAATTTCTAATTAATTTTAACTATAATTATATTCACAAATGCATTACTAGTTTTTTTCAATAAAGGTGAGCCATAAAAAAAATATATCATATTTGCGTGTTAGTTATAATGTGGGGCTTCAATTTAAAATTTAAATTTTTGTATGATACATTTTTCTTTGTCCAACGTATATAGGAAATGTCTCCTCAACTGCATACACCACCATATGACACTTCATGTTTTGAATTAGCAAACTTAATTTTAAATTATGTTCTTTTTTTCCAATTCCAAATGATGCTGATTTCATAAAATTAAGTTTTCTCAAAATTGAATTTAAAATGAAGTGATAAAACATTTGTTATTTTTAAAAATTAATTAAAACACGTCATTTTTTAAAACCCACGTCAGAATTCTAAACACCATTCAAAAGTAGGAGTTATTAAAACCAAAATACATTTTGGTGCATTTGTTCATATAAAATACTCTTCAGGTTAATGTTTTTCTAAGCATGTATGAATTCATGGTACTTAATATAACTAAATTTGGGTTTGATTATGACAAATACCAAATCAAACACCGCCCTGCCGTAATCAACTAATGGGCAATTGATTTTGGTAATATATACTTAATTAAAAACTTTTTAAAAATAAGATCTTGAATTTAAAATTTATATAAATATATATTTATAGAGGGAAACAAAATCCCTATTCGGAAGACTATATTCACTAGAGAAATGGTTGAAATTCTGAAAATATATTTATTTATTTATTTAATTTTTTATCTGATTTAATCTGGATTTAACTTAAATTATAGAATTTAATTTAAGTCATATATATTGATATAGTGAATAAAACTATTAACAGAGATTTTGTACATACAAAAATTTTAAATTTTATTTAAATATTACTGAGTTACTTGCTACTCGGATCAATTTCTGTTAATTATATAAATTTATCGGGAATAACTCAAAATACCTTAATGTCATGAAGAATCTAAAGAGAATTGAGCCTATGGCATTGCAAACGTAAGAAAGTCAAAGGCTTTGGTCTCCAAAAAAGAAAGTAAGAAATGGGAAATTGGAATGGTTGGCAATGCAATTGCATGGTTTGAAGGTGTCAAAAATGGAGCTTAGTTTGGTAAAACAGAGACCAACCCTTACGCATAACACCGTCTGCATTTTTTCACCTTCGCTTGGTAGCATCATCGCATAGTATAGCTATTCAATTTCCAATAATAAAATATGTAACCAAAAAGTCAAACTCAATACAATACAAAAAAGACTAGTTTCTAAATTCAATTTAGGTTCTTTTTAGTGATTGTGTTACATTGTAACTTAAGAGACCACCAAGTTTATGTTCCTGATTTGTTCTTTTCTGTATTTCACAAACACTACCTTAGATCATATGTGATTCTAGATTTTATATCAACTCATATTAGGATTTAAAAAATCATCAAATGAAGCTTAGAAACCTTTTAATGTGAAAAACTATTATATAGTTTCCACGCGTACACCGACTTCATTTATCAACCTAAAACATTCTATCCTCCATTGAACATCTAGAAGTTAAAAAACTTTCATGAAGCATCACATCATATGAAAATTAGCAAAATATTCTTCACATGGTATGTGACATGATTTATCATGATGATCTTGTATTCAAATTAAACAATAATAAAATAAAGACTATCCCTAAATTAATACTAGATTATGAAAACCCATAACTCAAGGTGTCGACTTCTCCCTCAACCTTCAAAGAAAAGATCTTGAATATCATTAAATAATTTTATCAAGCAATCAATTTTTTATGAAGTCTTCCTTCAATTCCTCTGTTATTAAGATATATTAATAATTATGTAATATTCTTTGTGCATTAAAATATTAGTGCAATATCCACACTACTAGTTCGTTTATGAGAATTGGTCTATTTCGTGCATAGAAGATTCACATATGTATAAAATAAGTCTTGCGTAATGATTCAACTAGTATTAAAAATAGGTTAAGAAAGTAATAAAATAAAGCTTGAAAGTGTATATGACATTGCCATTAGATTCAAAATAAAGCTTGAAAGTAATAAATTTTTTCTTCATAGTTGCACTTGTCAGTTTAGTTTTTTAAAACCAAAATCTCATTATTTAATTGGTAGAATAGAAAAAGAGACATAAGAAGAATGAAAAAAACTTATTTAATTAATGAAATTAAGTATTAATTAGTCTTCATTAAGGTTACTAAGTTAGTATTTTCTCCGAAACAAAAAATATTAAAGTTTCTCTTTTTTCTAAAACAATGAGTTAAACACCAATTTACGATTTTAATGCAAAAAGTTTAAAAGTAAATCTTTTATAAAAGTTAGAGTAAATTTATAATTTAATTTTTGAAAGTGACAATAATATCGTTTTAGTTCCAGAAAATTTTTGTAGATCTATTAACTTTATGATAAATTAGTCCTTTCAAACGTGAGACTAACTAAATTAAAATTAAATTTATCATACAAATTGAAGACTAAATTATTATGAAATGAATAGATATAGAAATTAACTTTATAATGAAATTATGTAAAATTTCAAGACTCAAATCAATACATATTATCGCATTTGCACATAGAATTATATATTTATTCTAAAATTTAATTGAATAAACTTTTAATGTGAATCTAACAAGGAAAGCTATAAATACTTTAGATCAAACAATACCTAAGAGGCTAAGAATAAAAAAAACAAGGTAAAAAGATCACAAAGATTTGGTTGTTTCGGTGTTAAAATAGTACTCCTCACATTTTTTTTAATGAAAAAATATATAATTGAAATTAATTTATGCATACATGTAAATTATATTCAAAAACTAAAAATAAATTTTATTAAACTTTAAATGAAAGTGTATACAAATGAGAGGAAAAGGGTGTTAGCGTGTAGTATAAATGTAGGACTTGCGTTGGTCTCAAATTCCGTAGTAGAAAGCGTGTGTAAGAGAGTCTATTATACCAAAGCCAAACACAGCCCAAACAATGCCTTTGGTTTTACCCGTTCCACCCCTTTGACGGTTATGGCTGTTCCAAATTTTTCTTCAAATCTTCAATGGTCAATATTCAAATCCTCACTCTTACTATAAGAAAACAACGCATTCTCTCTTTCTCTCTCTTCAATTTGAATGCTTCTCTCTTAGAATATTTCCTTTGGGGTCTAACCTTTGAACACTCTTTGTATGAAAGCAAGGACCATGACCCTTACGTTATATCAACACAATCACACGCATGAAACATGATATATCTATGTGTTTGTATCTATCTATATATATTAGTATTATTATTAGGTATTATATATACATGAACAAACCCACTTGAAGACCCATCAATATTTCTGTACGAAGTTTCAAACTTGATATTCAGAGGAGCTTAATACACCTTACAATTCACCAAAAAAAGCAACATAGCCACCGTGATTTCTTTGATCTTTGATTCCTTGGAGATGGTGTTGGGTTGGAGAAGAAGGAAGAACAACAAGCACAGCAAAGGTGGCAAACCCAATGTGGAGTTGGTGGTTCCAAACCACTTCAGGTGTCCAATTTCCCTTGATTTGATGAAGGATCCTGTGACATTGTCAACTGGGATCACATATGATAGAGAGAGTGTTGAAAGGTGGTTTGATGAAGGGAACTTCACTTGTCCTGTTACAAACCAAGTTGTGAGGAATTTTGACATGATTCCTAATCATTCTCTTAGGATAATGATTCAAGATTGGTGTGTGGAAAATAGGCAACATGGGGTTGAGAGGATTCCAACTCCAAGGATACCAATTAGTCCAATTGAGGTTGCTGAGCTTATTCTTCAAGTGAAGGATTCAGCAAAGGGTTTGGACCAATATGGATGCCTGGAATTGGTGCAGAAAATGAAGAGATGGGGTGGTGAGAGTGAGAGGAATAAGAGGTGCATAGTTGACAATGGAGCACCTGGGGCATTGGCTTCAGCTTTTGATGTATTTGCAAATGATTCTGTTGAGAGGAATGTGGTTGTTCTTGAGGAGATTTTGTCTGCACTCAATTGGATGTTTCCACTTCAATTGGAAGCTCAGAAATCCTTGGGATCTTTGGCTTCTTTACGTTGCATGGTTTGGTTCTTGAAGCACCAAGATCTTTCGGGGAAAGAAAAGTCCATTGTGGCATTGAAGGAGCTTCTTTCCTTTGGTGATGAACAACATGTGAAGGCTTTGTTAGAAATTGAAGGGGTCTATGAGCTCTTGGTGGAGTTCATCAACAAGAGGATTAGTCCAACTATCACAAAGGCTTCATTGAGGGTAGTTTGGTACCTTGTTTCATCCTCTTCTAATTCCAGTGATAAGATGAAATTGTCATTTGTTGAATTGGGTTTGGTTCCTTTTTTGCTTGACATTCTCATTGACTCAGAAAAGAGCCTTTGTGAGAAGGCTTTGGCTATTTTGGACTCACTTTGTAGCTGTGAAGAAGGGAGGGAGAAAGCTTATGGTAATGATTTAACAATTCCTTTGTTGGTGAAGAAGATATTGAGAGTTTCAGCATTGACCACAGATTATTCTGTTTCTGCTATCTGGAAACTTTGCAAGTTTGGAGAGAAAGGTGAAGGAAGAGCTCTTGTTGAGGCTCTTCAAGTTGGTGCTTTTCAGAAGCTCTTGTTGGTGTTGCAAGTTGGTTGTGGTGATGAGACCAAGGACAAAGCAACTGAACTTCTCAAATTGCTGAATCCTTACAGGGCCGAATTGGAATGCATAGATTCAGATTTCAAGAACCTCAAGAGGTCCTTCTAAGTTTATGATCATTTTCAACTTAGAAGTTTAGTATTGAATTTTGTGCAAAAATTTTTGGCCTAACTATGAATATCTGCAATTTGTGTCATGGGATTCAAAGAATCCAAAAATTAATAGATAGGGAACCTGTAGAATATTTATTCTTTTTGTATATCTCAATAAAAGAATGGCATTTTAATATCTTAGAACAATTTGTGTGTGTACTTTATTACATGATGTCGAATAACTTCACTTCATGATTTGAATTAACGAAAAGAAAAGACAGAAAGATATCAAACAATTTGTGAGTCTACTTCAATTTGTGGTGTTGATTAAACTTCACACACGATCTGAATTAAAGAAATGAAATGACAAATGATTTAAGTTTGGTGCAAGCTAACAATAATCCAAATATTTGGAGTTATATTATTATTATTTTAAAACATTTTTTTATATTTTATTTTTCCTCATTATTCCTCTCCATTATATCACTTATTTTATATCATATTTCTCTCTTTTTTCTTCTGATCTCCTTCATTATTGTAAAATGTACAACTTTACAGTACAAATATAATTTCTCAAATATTTAAACCAACAAGTTTGATAAGCTAAAGTAGAATATTGTTTTAGCTTGAGTTGAGCTTAAAATCTGCCTTCTGAAAGAAAATGATTGGCCTCTTTCTTTTGAAATAACATGTGAGTAGGTGAAGATAAAGAAGGTAAAGTACCAGAATGAGGAAATTAGAGGAATTGCGGTATATGAAGCTTGGATGAGCCAAAACTTTAGGTAAAATTTTAGGTCACGATTGCCATCTAAGTTGGAAATCTTCAATAAATCATTGTATTATTCCAACACTAACACAAACTGCATTCTACCTTTGTTTCCCTTTTCTTCTACAGTAATGCTGAGCAGTACCTACCAATTGGTAATTTTATCCCTTTCACGTTTTATTTGCACTTCTTATTAGAGTATATTTGAATTTTTATTTCAAAATGTTGTTTAATGTTTTCAAAAAGTAAAAATAAAAAAAAATTTGTTTGATGAAGTTTAGTTTGAGTTTAAGCTTTACTTTTTTTTCAAAGTAATATTATTATAAAGTGAAACATGGAGACAATTATTACATGTTTTATTTAATTATTTGTATAGTGATATATTTCTAAATGTGTATCATTGTATACATGAATCAATTAGCTGAGAGTTTTTCCAATTTAATATGTAATTTCAAATTTGAATCGTGTGAGATTTTATTATCTACTAAAACAATCTCTTTAATCTTTTTTAATGTAGTACTTTATCCACTTCATCATTTCACATACTCTAAAATCGGAGAAGGGCATGGTTGAAGTGTGGAAACATTTGAGCATCTGTGATATGATAATTTTTATATTTGAATTGAAATTACATGAAGCTTTATGTACCTCATTTTTTTCCCTTTATATACCTCAATACTATATTGTCACACCTTTATTTCTTTATTTATTTATGCGTGCGTTATTTCGACATTTTTCATGGCAATCATGGGGTCTAAGCTAAGGCTCTCCAAATTAGGAGAAAGGCATGGTTGAAGTGTGGACTCATTTGAGTATGTTTGACATGAAAGTCTTAAAATGTGAATTGGAATAATGAATACAAGTGAATGAGCTTTGGAAAAAAAATTTGATATGATATAGATGTTTTTAAGTTACTCTTTCGAACTTATAAGATTAACACAAAAACCATTTATTCTTTCTTTTTTTTTTTTTTTGGACAAATTTAACTAATTATCATGAAATTTTTAAAATGTATTTTTCTCTTATAAAACATGAAAATAGGGATCCTATATGATCCAAAAACTAGCTTCTACATTTTGGCCCCATATAAGCTTTATGTACCCACATTTCTTCCTTTTAATATATTGAATTGTGACTTTACCCACTTCATCATACACTCGTTAAAATGCTACATAACTTGAAGAAGAAAAAAATCATTCAAATTTTATACTGGATTCAATTAGATTCAATGATAACTATTTGAAGAAATAGAGTGACAGGCATTGTTCAATCATCCACTAGTCAAAAGCAAGTAAACTCATTGTTTCAAAATTTCTTCTTGTGTCATTTTTCTTGCAACTCTGTTCAACCATGATGACTTTACCTTAGCTTAATTGGAAATAAACTAAGTAATGTTGGTGTTTTAGAGGCAAAATAATATTGAAAGAGGGGAAAGTTAAAATTTGGAGAATGATTTTCCTTCATGAAATTCTCGTGTAGCTCTTAAAATTAGCAAGCAATGATTAATGTTAGTTGCTAAGACTTGTGGTTTACACAACAGCCCTTTAAGTTGAACTCTCTCAATACCCTTCTGAAAATTGTGAGATTAAAATAATAATATACCCTACTATATATATGATGTTATTTTTTAATAGTTTAAATAATGAAATAATTTTTAATTCGTTGAAAACTTTGGGAATTGAATGTTACATTCTTTTACAGGTTACATTTTCATAAAAAAAAATGTTAGCAACATAGCTTGTAATACTTTTTTAAATATACCATTTATTATTAATTAAAATAATAAAATTGTAATTGAGACATTAAATAAAGAGAATTAATATTTTTTTAATTTGTAAATAAATTTAACTAATAAAAAAATATTTAAAAATGTTGCTAACATTATTTATTTATTTATTTTTGTATTTCACCTTTAAACTCTACTTAAGTTGTATTTATTCTCCAACATATATATATATATATATTATATGTAGCTGGTATCATTAAATCAAGACCATTGGACATTTTCAAAATTTCCCCATTTTTCAAATTCAAATCACCCTAATCACATGAAAACATTATACCTATACCAAACATACTATAATATGTGATAGCAATTAAATATAATTACACACAAGAAATCAGGGGCAGCACTTAGTTGTAAGCCCAAGACTAGTGTGAATATATAATACTAAATTTGAAATCATTTTTCCCATTTCACATCTCCGTTTTTACCCAAAACGACTTTGAAGAATTATTGTGAATCATGTGATGTGATAAACGAGGGGCAGAAGAGGGCACCATGAATATGAGAAAGTTTTGGTATGTGCAAATGGGAACATTTATTTGTATTCACACTACAGAATAAGCAGTGAAATCCCATTCAAAGAGATAATCTAGAACAAGCTCAGCACATTACATCCAACCATGAAACTCTTAAATGTAATATTAAAATTAAATTTGAACCAATATATTAGCTTTACAAATTAAACCGTGTTTTACTTTAACAAATATTCTTGAATAAAACTTGTGTCCTTGAGTGAAACGCGTATGACTTAGAAAATAATGCATTCTTATGAATAAATAAGGCATTACACCTCATCCAGTTTGCAATAGTCCACCGACGCATCTGACAAGAGAATTTATTGGATCAGTTTGCCATTTTATTGGTTCAATTACTCATCTTATCTAACTTCATTTACTAGACTTTCAAGTCTCAATTTTCAACCACGCGTGATAGCTTTGATCTTAAGATTTAATTGACTACTATTTGGAGGAATTTCTAGAATTACAAATTGGTGTAAATTTTTTAGAGAAATAGGATTTCAAATGAATCATGCATAGGAGCAATTTTTTATGTCAACATGTGTTATCTTTTACTTTTAAAAAGAGAAATATGTTGGCCATGATAATCTTCTAATCTTAAAAATAGAATTCTATTCTACCTGTAACGTTATGTAAATTATTACTTCCTCGTTTTACACCTATCTTGATTACAAATCAATTTTTTCCCTTAAGAAATGAAGCATTTATTATAATGAATATGTAAAAGTTGGCCATAATAAATGCTTTCTTTCTTTAATTTAATACATAACCCTCAAAGTTGATGTAAATAAAATTCTTAAGCTAATTTTCCTATCAATTTAAATCTGAAGAGAAATGAATTTTGGTAAGCTTCAAGCAACAAACAAAAAAACTTAAGGAGAGGGAGGTTTTGTCCACTGTAAACTATGGTTGCTTTTCCCAGTAGATTTTATCTTGTTTTGTGTAACAAAAGATGACCTTGTGTGATCCGCACCTAATGGGGTTAAGCTTTGTTGTTTGAGTAACAAAAGATGGGATAAATGTAGAAAAGAAAAATATTTCACTGATATAGACTAAATGCCATTAAACAAAATAGAGGTCAAAAAGGTGTGTCCAAACAGCAAAATAAAATAAAGATTGGAATTTGAAAATATAGAGCTGCATCTCATGTATCTCATAGGGTATAATTTGGTACATGATGTTGGCATGTCCATACTAGACTCAACTAAAGCTGCCTCAAAGATCTCATTCACTAACCACAACAATAGGAAATTGTGAAAACAAACTACTTGGACTTGTATCTCTTCTCCACTTCCTCCAGATTCTGGATTTCCTTCTGATACTTGCAAATGCGGCTAATAGACCTGTCACCACATTCATATGCATTAATTGAGGTTGAGTTACAATGCAAGATAGATAACTAAATCCATTTCCAATTTAAAATTGTTACTTTACCAGTAGAGAAGACATGCTGAAACACACAATATTACATTTCTCTGAGCTTTGTATATCTGAGAAACACCAATTATGGACAATGAGTCAAGTAGTCAACAATGTAAAGTATTATAGAAAGGAGAGAAATATGGTAATTCAAATTTTGAAATAAAGTAAACCCAAAGGAAGGTCATGCATAAGTCATGCAGTCTGATATTGTCGGTTCAACTCAACTCAGAGAATTCCAATCATAAGTTTGAAGTTCAAACCCGAAGTGTAGTGTAAGCCACATAAATTTCAATGGTCAAGAATTTACAAATACTCCAAATCATCATTAGCTACATTTGATGCGCTTAAAAGATTCTAGACATGGCGATGATAAGGAAGATGGAACTGGAAGCAATCACACCCTTTATAGCTTCCATTATTAGGAGTGCAAGAAAGATTATTATCCAATAATATCCCCACTGTAAAAACCCATGACTATAAAGCACAGCACATTAGATAGAATTTGGGCTTTTATTGTAGGAATCTGGTCAATTTTTACCTTTACAATTGTTGATGTTAATATTTTTCAGAGAAAGATTCATCTCAATAGGTTATAAAACTCAGATCAGACTGACTTTGAGTTTTGAGCCATCTATTAGACCATAAGCTGATTAATCCAAATGATCGGTTGAGATTCAATGAACTGATTGAGTGAAAATAGTGAGCAAAAAGAATAGGGGCACGTGGTTCCTCTAACAAGCTCACACAAGATGGGCTCTACCATCTTATATATCTTTCACACCGCACCACACAATGTGGAACTTTGAAATCATGAGCAGAAACACCTCACCCAGGAAGGAGTGCTGGACAACAAACAATATAGAAAACAGACTTTGGGTCCAATAAAGAAAAATTATTTTCGGTTTCTTTACTTAAAATCTAAAAATACTAGGATATCAAACAAAATGCCACTCTTCTCACTCCATGTTCACAGTTCACAACCTTACAAGAGTGCTGAAGATGAAACTTTAATATGGGGTAGCAGTAGGGATTTATATTTTCATACTAAAGTCAATGCAAATAGCATTGTGGAGACAAAAGTTAATACTGACATAATGACACAGTCTATACTCATTGGATTTACTTTGTAATTTGTATATGTCCCGGTATGGCCATACCATACCTCATCTACTCTTCCATTCTGAACCACAATACCACCAAAACTAACAATTACACGCCATTCCTTTTTGCTTATTCTCTGGTTAATAAGGTGCTGTATTGTACAGTAACACACTAACATTTAGCTCTCCTACACTTATATCCCAAGGTGCCTTGAATTTGGCTGAGAACTTAAAGCCTATTTTGTCATTATAAAGATGAATCAATATTCAGGTGCCGTCAACCAAATCCATTAGTCATTTCTACCTCCTCCCTTTTCATCTTCCCAAAAAAAGGGAGCTAAAAGTTACATTCATTCATGGACCTACTTCAAGAAAGTAAAGGAGGAACCCCTAAAATAATGAACAAGAAAACACTATCATGAGAACAGAAGTATTAACAAAGTACTCATATTGAATGAAGCTTCATCAAATGACAAGAGATTATGTTAGCCATCAATGCATGATAGTTGTATGATTTCAGGCATATAACGTAAGAGAAAAATCTTCTTTAAAGCAATGATACGCATCTGATAGTCAAATAAATCAGTAATACCACAATCCACGTTGCATCAAACAAGCAACTTGCAAACTGCGTAAAACTTGCTGCACAAACCGACATTACCAATTGCTTATAAAGTTTCATCCAATATTCACAAGATTGTTCTAAATAAAAAACTGAGATCCTCAATCATTAAATGGGGCTTCTCAGCATCACCCACAACTGTCAAAAGTTACTTAAGCACATTCAATGACCACAATTTACATTGCAAACTACGAATTCCCCCAATTAAGCTTTTTTGACATCCATAACAAATACTTACAGATTTCTCATATCGGTCTCTCTCTGCAGCAGTACAAACCTCAGAGGTACACATCAACCTATGCTCATTCTTCCAGTATATATCTGCAGACAACCATAGATCAAAATTCAGGAAAACCAACACTAGATCCCAACAATCACCAAATGGATCTCCTCAGAAACAGTGCCATTATCACACAACCAACATCTAAAAAACAAAAAAAGGAAAACCCTCATCTAAGGCATTTTCAAGTTCTGAATAATCTAACTATCAACAGGATCCACTGAAAGATGAAAAGTGAAAAAGATTAAAAATTTCCACCAATCAACAGATACGTAGATGAGTGATCATCCATAAACCCTAAAATAAAAGCAATTGAAACAATTTTGAACCACCCACCCACCAACCCAGAAGTGAAAAAGGAATGATTTTGGGGCAAACCCAGTTATTTGATGAAATGGAAGAAACCCATCAGAGGAAAGAGAGAGAGAAAAGCACAGATACCTAGGAGATGAAACCCTGCAAAGGGAACAATGAAAAGCGCAGGTTGAAGAATGAGGGAAACGAGAGAGACAAAACGGTTCCTCAAAGCCTTTGGTGAGGGAAGGGTTAAGAGAATGGCCACAGCAGCCTCAGCAGCAACAACGTAGGTGAGTATCAACCACTGCAACGCCATCTCTTCTGCAAATGTGTTGTCTTCGGCGGGTCGTTAGTTGCTTCGTTTCTTCTGCAGAAGTGTTGTCTTTCCCTTCCTTCCTTATTGTCTTGGATGTGAGTTTTTTTTTTTTTTTTTGATACTTTTCTTATGGGCTAAGATTGGCTTGTCTTGATTGCATGGATTGATAGTTTCGAGGTAATCACCTTCAGTAAAAATTAGTTGATAAATTAGTAAAAAGTTAACTAAACATTAAAAGTTGATGAATTAATCGATTAAATAAAAAATATTTAATACATAATTGTAAATATAAAACACCATAACAATACATTTAGCTATTCAGTCATAACTTCAAATTTAGAAACTAGATGTTTTTTAAAATAGTTATTTTTTACATTTTAATTTTTCTTAAATTATGTATTTTCTTAAAAATTAACATAATAATTTGTTCAATTAATTCTTATTTTTTATTTTTATTAAATAAAATGAGATAAGATTATCAATGTATATTATAATTTTGATAATCTTATGTTTTAAAAAAATATTTGATTATTTTGTTGAATTCTCTTCAAGAGTTAAAAAAAATTTTTTGAAATAACATTGTTTTGAAAACAATTCTTTATCATTTGAAATTTCCATCAATAAAGATCAAATATATTTTTAGAAAAACATTTAGTACAATAAATAAAAGAGTGTAACATTAAAAAAAAATAGTGTTAAAATAACAATAGTAAAAGAGAAATCTCTTATTACGTAGACCGGCCCATTGAATCCAGTTTCCTGGGCAACGTATCTAATCACATTTTCTCCTTCCATTCTCATCTTTAACTTACATTCCTATGCTTTAACTTCCATTCTTCTATAATTAGTGATTTTTTTCGAGGTAGTGGTCACAATGATTCCATGATATGCACCCCACCCCCCAAATAAAGTTATAGATGACAGTTTCTGGCTAAATTTGTTACATCCAGAGCAATAGCATTTCAGAAATAATAAAGAAATGAGAATAATAATAATAATATATAGTACATACCATCCATCATACAGAGCATCTCCAAATTTGCATGTATCACTTGGCTCACATGCTCTTGTACTTTGCCGCAATGTTAGAACCAAAACAAGTCAATAAAATGGCCTTGATGTATAAATTACACATATGAAACTTGTAAGAGATTGAGAATAGGAAGAAAGAAGATGCATGCATGAGTAAAAGAATGAAAAAAGAGTTAACTAGCAAGCGAGAGAGGAGGGAGTGAGGGGAATGAAGCCTGGTCCGAGAAACTCTCACAATTGATTCATTGGTAAATGGACACATCTCGAGCCAAACAACATTCCCCACACCCTCATTCTCCCACCTTCTCTTGTATTATACTATATGCAGCCTAGAATCATGCATTTTCTTCATTGATGCACATTTTATTTTCTGGGCTTCCAAACAGAACTTGGAAATTATTGGAGTGGAATATGCAATTGGTATTAATGGGGTGAGAAAGAATGAGAGGTAGAGTGAAGGGTGTTCATTGTTATCTTGACTTCGGAACTTACCATGTGGAAGTTGGAGGCTCTCTTTGTCGTTAAGACTTTCCAACATTGAGTTACATATTGCTTCAATATAAGGTTACTGTATGGATTAATTTGTCATATTAATTCATGCCTAACTACCAATTTCCATGACAGTAATTAAATTGATTAAATAAGTTAAATCACTGTATAGTTTCTAATTAGTGCAACTGGTTTTTCTCACGTATGGTTTGCCTTCATTTGTAAAAATCAAAGAAACCTGCGGTTGGTATATAACGAGCTTCTAGACATGCTTAATGGGTCTTCTATGATGAGGTTGATAAAAGAAAAGGTTTACACGTGCACTATTGAAGTAGTATATAATGAGTGCAAGTAATTATTGAGTACCTGAAGGATTCCCATTTTGCTTTTTCATTTCCCTATTTTTCTCACCCTTTTCCATCTCCTCTCTCTCTCTCTCTCTCTGTGCTAAATATATATTTTTTTTAAATGGTACTTTGGTTTTATTTTTATTGGAAGTGGAAAAATATGCAAAGAATTCTTCATATTTATTTATTCATTCTTTTAGCTTTACCTTTAATCTTGGATATGCTCCAAGATACTACAATGGACAAACCTAGAGAATAATAGAAGTATTCTAATATCACAATCATGACGATTAACCATGTTAAGATACCTGCTTTTGTTTTGGGTCCCCTCTTATTTTGTCTCCCTTTTCTTCCATTTTCTATATATGATTGTATTTTAAAAAATAATTTGGAGAATGGGTCCAGTCTAGAAGTGTGTCCTCATCTCCCCCGAGTTTAAGTCATTGGCTTCTAGTAGATTATGCAAGGGTTTTGCTTTTCAGGCTGTATTTTTTTTTTCCTTTTGTAAGCACCCCTTTAATTTTTTATAATATTTTCTTAATTTTTATTTTTATTTTATATCTCTAACTGGATAACTATGCTGTTAATATATCAAAATCTGTAGAGATAATTTGTCAATTAGCACATGATAATATATTTCTTAATTTCATTACTTTTATCTCTAATTATGATGTAGCTAATTAAAAAATTAAAACCTCACAAAAATATAAAGACTGTACATTTAGAAATGGGCTTTCCTTTGTCATGGAAAGAGGATGGGCCAACTCATTCAAGAGGTAAAATTTTAGGCTTAGCTCACATGAGATGGCCCATAATGAGAATTCTAACCAACCCAATTGGCCCATTCCTCCGCCTCCTTCAGCCGTTCATTCACAACGGTGACTCCTTCCGCTTCACCCCTGCCTCAACATACTTCTGAGTTTCCTCTGTGTTTCCTATTTCCTCAACTTTGAACCCACCTACCAATCATTCGTTGCTCAAGTTTCCAAATTGAAGAAGGCAAAAGACAAAAGCTTGACCAAATTCAAATACTACCGTTGAGGTCATTATTCTTTTATTTGTAAAAAAAGTTCAGATTCTTGTTTCATTTTGATCCAATTTTATCGCAATCTAATCTCATTGTTACTAATCTTAATTATTTTTTACATCTAACTGAGGTTTTCAATTTTGGGTATTGATTTTTTGCGTGTTTGCTTCAGAAGAACTTATATATGTCAAGTTGAGCTGTACTTTTAAACATATTGAGAGAGAGAGAAGTTTAACTGTTTCAGATTCATTAGTGTTTATGTGTTCCAAGTTCCATGAGTATAAGATGGCCAAGAGTGTTGACACCCACATACCTCTGTCAAATTATAAAAATCCAAAAGAACCCATTAAAGGCTCTTCACATTTTCAATGAAGCCAAAACTAAGTACCCTAATTATTGCCACAATGGTCCTGTATATGCCACCATGATCAACATCCTTGGAACATCAGGGAGACTCACTGAGATGAGGGATGTGATTGAGCAAATGAGAGAGGATTCATGTGAATGTAAAGATTCTGTCTTTGTGTCTGCTATTAAGACATATGCAAATGCTGGGCTGGTAGATGAAGCAATTTCTCTATATAAGAACATTCCTCAGTTTAATTGTGTGAATTGGACAGAATCCTTCAATACCCTATTGCAGATAATGGTGAATGAGAGCCGGCTTGAAGTTGCACACCGTCTTTTCGTTGAGAGCTCTTGTGGTTGGGAAGTGAAGTCACGGATTAGAGCATTGAACTTGCTTATGTATGCTCTTTGTCAGAGGAGCCGCTCTGATTTGGCATTGCAAATATTTCAAGAGATGGATTATCAAGGCTGCTACCCTAATAGGGACAGCTATGCAATTTTGATGAAGGGATTGTGCCAAGATAGGAGGTTGCATGAGGCCACCCATTTGTTATATTCGATGTTTTGGAGGATCTCACAGAAAGGTAATGGAGAGGATATTGTGGTCTATAGAACGCTTTTGGATGCTCTATGTGATGACGGAAAATTGGAAGAAGCTGTGGAAATTCTGGGTAAAATTTTGAGAAAAGGACTAAAAGCTCCAAAGCGATGTTATAATCGACTTGATCTTAACCAATTCTGGGATGGTAAAGATATAGAAGCCATGAAACGCTTGATTCATGAAGCTTTGATTAAGGGCTCAGTTCCTTGTTTGGCGAGTTATAATGCCATGGCTATTGATCTGTACAGTGAAGGTAAGATAGGTGAGGGTGATAACGTTATCATTGAAATGCAACATAGAGGCTTTAAACCAACGCATTCTATCTACGAGGCAAAGGTAGCTGCATTGTGCAAAGTTGGCAAATTGGATGAAGCAATCGAGGTAATTGAGGAAGACATGGTGAAAGTCAATTGTCTACCAACTGCTAGGGTGTACAATATTCTCTTGAAAAACCTCTGCAATGTGGGAAATTCAACAGCTGTGATCGAGAGCTTGAACAAGATGTCTAACAAGGTGGGTTGTGCAGGTGACAGGGAAACATATGGCCTTTTGCTGGAAATGCTTTGTGGTGAGAAAAGGTATCTCGAGGCAAGTCAACTTCTGGAGACAATGTCAATTAAATCATATTGGCCTTGTGCCAACAGTTACAATGCTCTCATTAAGGGTCTTTGCTCCTTAGGTAGGCAATATGATGCTGTTATGTGGTTAGAGGACATGATAAGCCAAGGGAAGCTTCCTGAAATTTCTGTTTGGAATTCATTGGTGTCTTTGTTTTGTAACTCAGAAAATATAAAATTATCCTCTAATACATTTAATCGCCTAAGAAGTTTGTGATTCTAAATGGTGTTGTAGATATATAGTGGCTAATTAATTATTAGAATCATGTACTACCAAATTTTAGTTTAATATATATGCTTCCCTTTACTAGGTTCAAAGACACCATGTTTAGTGCTGATTCAGTTGCTGACTTGGTCTTCAAACTTGTTCAGTTACCAAGTTTGCATTCTCTTTTGTGGCCCAAAACTTCAGGCACAGAATATGATTGGGCATGAAATCTCTGTCTTAAGGTTTGCATGACATAGGGTCCAATAAATTGCTTTATTGTTTTACATTATTTTTATCCAGGGCTTTATAGTTTGACATTGATTTGTGAATAAGACTCTACAACTAAGATCCTTTTTTGGTTATTTTTGTACTTTACCTTTCTGTTGATAGGTTCAAGCTTGATCAAATCAGATAACTTAAGTAGTATTGCTACAGGAAATGTAGGACATGACATGATCAATTTTCATATGCCTTATGGCTTATGCCAATGAGATAATGGTGTTGAGTTAGGGTCCATTACTGATTTAGTGAAGTTTTTGGTATGGCTGTAATAGCTTGATAGAGCAATTTGGGAATCAAGGGTTGTTTACTTTTTAGCTATGAGGCCTCATTTGTTTGATATAAAATGTCATGTAAACCTTGTCAAATGTTCTTGAGTATGAGTACTGCTCTAAATGCCAAAAACTTTTAGTAGAATTATCATGAATTTGTGAAGCATGTAGTTTGATAATCCCTTATGATGCCTTACAATGATGTCTGTGCTTTGATTTCTTCTCTTTTTTCAAAATCTTTTATTATTAGTTTAAAATGGCACTTTGAATAGAGTCTGCATTTCATGGTCTTACTTTGTTTATTAGCATACAGTTATATATGATTTAATAATCCGGTGCAGAAGAACAATGTGATAATCTTCTGCAATAAATTAACAGAATCAAATTTGGCATTCTTGTTGCAATTGTTAAATTAATTATATTTGGTTTAGCGTGATTATGCCTTGATTAAGACAATGATTGGCTGAACAAAAAAGTCCATGTAGGTTGTGCTATTTTGCATCAGCTACTGGTTTTGCGACCTTTAGCTCTGAAAAATCTTGGTGCTGATTCATATTTTGTGGTTGCCTCGATTCTTTGTGCATGTACTACACATTCTAAATGATACAATTAATGTCTGCTATGCGACAGAGGAAGACAGAAGAAACAAATTAAGGTTTATAACATTGTTATATTGTGAAATTCTTTGACATATTATCGTATTATCGTGTAAATAACTGTATTGCAATTTATACAAAGCAAGGGTAAATGTAATTAGTTTGAAAGTTGACTTGTTTTCAATGTGGCATGGCTGGCATCTATAATTTTAACATGCGTCCAGAAACACATATTAAAAAAGTAATAAATAATAATTTTTACAAAAAAATATAGCATTTAATGTTGTCAATGTATTGTGTTTTTTATTAAAAAATTATATATAAATTTTTATTATATATCATCAAATATATGTTAGAAAAATCTTATAAAAATTGAAATTTGTTTTATTTTTTGTAGTGCTTTCATTGTCCAATTTCGATATTGGGGTTGATGAAAATAACACATCTTAGAAATTTTACACTTTTTAAGGTATGTTAGAAGAAATCTCACATTGTCTGGAATGAACAAGAAAGTGGGTGAATAAGGCTATATAATGGACTTGAGTCTATGATATCAAGGTACTTTAACACAAGTCTATGATGGAATAATCAATTTTGGCTTGTGGCAAATAACAAGTGAAAGATGTGTTGATACAATTTGGACTTGGATTCTCCAAAGTAGAGAAACATAAAAAAGAAACTCTCTCTTGTTTCGGTGGAGGATGATCTTTTGTAAAAGATGAGTTAAGTATTCTTATGGCATGTCTTCATTACTATGGAGCTACATCTTTTACGAAAGATCGAGAAGGACAATACTGGCATCCAATCCGGAGATATTTTTTTATGTTTCTTCACTTGAATAATTTTTCTTTACATACATTTATGTAATCCAAATTGTATCAATATATCTTGACTTGTGTTTGCCAAAAGCAAAAATTGATCCTTCTATTAAATTTTTCTATGTCACGTTTAACAATTCTTGCAAATGACATTGTAACTTCAGCAATCAAAGATGATTTTTCGATAAATTAATCTTTACTAATGTAGAAGATCAAACTAAGTTAAGTTGTAACTAGAGTATACTAACAATATTTTTCCTTTGTTCTTGTGAAAAGATATTCATGGTAACTAGTTCATTTTTTTGTTCTTGTGAAAAGATATTCATGGTAACTAATTCATTTAAAATGAACTATTTCTAGATTTGATTTTTAATTTTGTTATGGTTGAAGTTAATAGGTATTAGGAATTGAAAAGAAAAATTTTTAAAATAAGAATTTTAGAGCATGTTTGATTTTTATTTTTTCTTTAAATAAAATATAATACATTATATTATATAAATCAAACATGTTCTTAAAAGTTATTTTTATAGTTTCTTTTTTTTTTTTTTAAGTATTGTGATGTGTTTTGGGGTAATTAAAAATTGTACTCGTCTTTATTTATATTAATACTAGACCATGATTCTAAATAAATAAAGAGATAAAATATGAGATAATAAAAAAAATATAGAAATAAAAAAAAAATAATGATATGAAATATTTAAGACACTTTAAAATATTTCAAATGATTGGAATGATTATTTTCATGTAATTAAAGATCGGTGGTTCGAAAACATCTAAAACTAAAATATAAGGTTGGATATAAAAAGGCAGCTTATAATTTAATAAAAAAATTTCATATAACAATAAATTTTATTATTAAATGAAAAGACTTGAATTTTATTTAATAAACGTTGTGTTTATTATTCGCACACTAGTTTTCCTAGCTTTTTTTAGAAGTATGAATTTATTTTCTTCTTTTATCCTTTTTTAAACTTAATTAGCCTTCATTAATTGTTCATGAAGTATTTTTAACAAAAGGAATTAAATTTATAACAAAAGTTTGGATAAAAATTTACACAACTAGAAAGCCTGAGAAATAATAATTAATGTGACATAGAAAGATAAGAAAAAATAGTATTATAAAGAAGTGTACAAATTGTTATAAAAATAATATAACTCGTTTAAAAATGATTTGATATGATACATACACTTACGTAAGGAACTTCCATCACCATCGTGTCACTATTGCAAAGGCAACTCAACCAACTTTATGTCGAACAGTTTATTAAGATTGGGACACCTTAATCGTAAACAACAGGCAATACTTTCATTATCTGTCTTTTTTTTAACGTGCGTTCAAAATCATATATTAAGAAGTTAAAAATAAATTATTAAAAAAACTATGATAGTTTAATTTTTTTAAAATCACATGTAATTTTCACTAAAAACAATATTATTTGAAATTGGTATAATTATTTCAGATGATAAAATTTTTATTTTTTAGTACTTGATATAGTCACATTTATTAAGACTCAAATTTAAAAGAAAATGTTAAAAGATAATAAGATTTTAAAATAATATTTAATAATTTTCATATATAAAAAGAAAATATGTATTCTAACTAATCAACTTGTAATGTATTTAAAGTTTGGATGAACATGAATACGTTCCATTATGATCTGATGCAACTTGTTGGCGGCTTTGAGATAATTTAAGGACACAGGGACCCATGTTTAGGTCTAGCTAAAAATTCTAATTACTAGCTAGTTAGTGTATTACCTTACTTTCTTCTAATAGCTTATAGACAATTTAATATAATTTATAGATGTATATACGTAATTATTAATGTGAGTTTTATTTAAAAACTCAAAATCTAAATCACTATCTCAAACTGAAATTATAAAGTAATTCATTCAAACGATCTGAATTTTTACTTGAGTGGATTGTTCAATTCATACTAAAACGGGAAAAATTTCTGGTTCCTCTTTCAAATGTGCGAAATATAGTTAAATAACAACAAAGAAACTCATTCCATTAATTTGAAAAACTAGAAGCACAAGATGAAAACCACATCATCAAGACTTCATATCCATTCACCATTCTAGGATTTCACAAGAGATTAATCAAAACGATATAGTAACAGCCAAATATAAAAGCTTGTCCATATACTACAAATGATTATTTGTGAGTAAATATCATTTTTTCTGGGAGGATTTTTTTTTTAATTGTTTTCTCTGTAATCAAATAAATGAGTGATGACTCCCTTTTATTTGTCTTTTTTTTTTCTCAGTCGCGACATGACTGAAAGATTTTGAAAATTGTTGAATTGAATTTTAGGCCTAATATTTATGCCAAATTGTATAATGTAATAAATAATAAGATAGTAATCGTTTAAATATGATATTTATCCAAATAAAAATAATGCTTTAACCCACCAATGATTTGTGACATAATTACAAATCAGAAAAACACTAATTACATAATTTTTTATTATTAAAATTTATAAAATTGTAAGTGAGATTCATCTAATAGAATGAAACTCATTTTATGTTGAGAGTCGCAATCAATTTCAACTATTACTAGAGAACAGATAAAATGACTATGTTAGAAAGTAAGTTGATTTTATTATTACCAATACTTTAAATTATTTATAAACTATTCATTTTTAATTTATTAAATATCTGATCAAACTTATTTATTTTAATTGCTAAATAGTTTCTAACTTGACTTGAAACTTAATGCATACATGATTTAAATTTAACCTTTAAGAACTTAATATTAAAAACTCATAAATAATTTGTATGCATGTTATATAATGATAACAAAAATGCTATTTTAAATTAGAAAACGTATGTACTTATTATACAATTTTTATGTTTAAATATTTTTTAATCTCTATCTCTTTTATTATTGAATCATCTTTTAATATGGAAGTGTCTAATAAATTTAAACTTACTTCGAGAATATGTTTAATGATTAATTTATCTAAATTATATATAGATATAGATATACGGGCGAGTCAAACTTAAACGTTACGTTATTCTCTAAGAATGCAAATTCAAACTCAACTTGTGTACACTTCATTGGTGAAATTTGCAAATTATGAGGGTAAGTATATCATTCATTACTATTCAATTAAATACTTATCAAATAATTGTACCACTTGCTCTAGTACCGCTACTATAGCTTTTCATGCAACATGGGTATTAGTTATTAGTTATTATTATATTAAAAGGACAAGAAAAAGGAAAGAGAAGGGGCAATTATCAAGATCTAGAACGATTAAAAAGAAAAAGAAATTAAACTCATACATATAAAGCTTGATTAAAGTATCGTGAAAGTGGTACAATTTTAACTTATTTTATGAATTATTGTTTTTTATTTTTGTAATTTAATAAAAAAAATTAACACTTGACAATACTTATATATATCATATTAGCAAAAACAAAACAAAAAAATAATTTATAAAAAATTAAGAATCGTATTTTAATAACATTTTTATATAGCCTAATGTATGATTTTCAGTCTCTAGCTGGCAGTAGCCCCTCACCCCAAAACCTCTATTCTTTGTAAAAATAAGCAACTTGATTTATGGGACCAGCTGCATCCACAGACATTCATTCATTATGCAAACTAACTCAATCCATTTCCAATTGCACGTATAATTCTAATCATGATTGATCACCAACACTTTAATTAATGATGATTGATTAGTTTTTTTTATTGAGTAATCTTTAATTTTAAGCTATTGTTGTCCTCATTATTTAGTATTCTTTTTATAATCATCATAAAAAAATGTTAACCTCAACTTAAACTTAAGCAATTAATAATATGAAATTTTCATGAAAAACTAGTTTATTCAATCTTTATAATTTTAATAAAAAAATCTACTTTAAATATATATAATTTTTCTCTTCCACATACTCATCCAAGTAATATATTGTCCTATTTAAATTATTTCCATTAAAAAAACAGATCGAAAAGATTCCCATCTTTTAAAATGATAAGTGGCATGAACAAGCAATTTGGATGTATTTACCAACCAAAGGTGTTTTTTAATGTTTTACCTCGCATGTTAATAAACAACAAAAGAAGCATGAAAAACTTGGATATTTTTTTGTTGGTTTTCCACACAATGTATCATCACTTTGTATAAGAAAATACCACTTGAAATGAAATAGAAAATGTGACAATGTAACCAAAACAACATAATAAAGTAGAGTTTTCTTTAATTTGTTAGTTAGAACAACACGATTAATTAGAAATGAAACACGAGACAACATTCATTCATAAACAATGTTTGGTTCTTGTATTTTTCTATTATCCAAGTTTCATTTATAAAACTAATTAATTTTAAGGATGGTCTTCTTTTTCTTGTTTGAGGATTCAAAACCCAAAAGATGACAGCCTATTTAATCAACTATATACAACTTCACGTATTTGTTTCTCAAATGTTTATTTTATGCACCCTATTTCACACCCACTAAAGAAGTGTGAAAATTTTATTAGCTAGCCATGTGCATATTACTTGTCATTGTTATCTCTCTCTCTCTTTTGCTGAAGAAATAATAACTAATTAATTGCATGGATTTATAATACCATGTGATAAACAAGAAAGATAATAATTAATTTAAAAGTACAATAAACAAATCTAGTGTATCTTTTTGGTATACAGTGTTCCTTTAAAGAAAAATGTTTTTCCAGCACAAACATTCTTTATTAATTTTTGAACGAAGGTATTTAATCCTTCATTTAAGTTTTATTTTGTTTTATTCATCTCTAACACTCATCTAGATTTAATTAATCTTATTTTTGGGTATGATTAATTAATATTAATTTAAATTTTAAACATTAATGTATTATTTTAAATCAAAGATACCTTTTTCATTATATTATATAATTTTTAAGATGTTATATTAATAGCCCATCTCAACTCAAATTCAATTTAAAATTTAGCACAGCTTATCAAATTGCTAGATCACGTGAAGATGGTATAATTTAATTCAAACAATTTAATCTCAACTTCTTCTTTTAAAATAAATGCTATATAATTGAATTAAATTTTAATTTCAAACTTATATATATATATATATATATATAATAATAATTATTTGTATGTGATGATAATAGTTTTCACTAAATATATCTTCACGTAACTACTACCAATTTTAATTTAAATAGCTAGTCACACGTGCATTCATCCCCATATATAATAATTATCTCTCTCTCTCCGTATTTTGCTGTTTTGATTCAATTGTTTATTAATTTACTTAAAAATCAAATTATGCGGAACCAGAATCAGTTCCTACTAAATTCAGGAATATCATTAAAATTCAAGAGATTATGGAAATAAAATTATTTTAGAAAAAGGAAAAATTAAAAACCTTGCGTGAAACTCACATAATTTATTATTTATTCGTTAAATGTAATTTAATTGAAATTATTTTGGAAAGGAATAATTTATATTATTAATTATAAAAAAAATGATCTATTAAAATTTAAACATGATATAAAATACAAAGGATATTTTAAAATAAAGATAAGTTTGGAATTTGGAAAGAGGGAAGGAAGGTAGATAAGCTGAATTTAATCACATGCAAATAAAGAAAGTAACAAAAAAACTAACTTTTAATCGGCAATGATTCATTGAATATTCAGCATTTATGAATATTCAATATGAGTAATTCAAAAAAATGGACCCCTCTCCCATATCCACCTTCTTTCCTTCATCACTTTCCATAAGCCACTCACTCACCATAAAACCTTCGCAACCTTCACACTCACACTCGCTTCATTTCCCACTTTCTCCGCCGTCAACCACAGTCAATGGCCCTCGTCCGCCACCGCCGCCACCCCAACCTCCGCCTCCCCCTCCTAGAATCCTCCGAACGCCGTCCTCGATTCCCTCTACCCCTCCCACCAACCGCCACAAAACCCTCCGCCGCCACCGGCTGCGCCGACGCTATCTCCGCTGGCGACCTCGAGAAACTCGCCGTGCTCGGCCACGGAAACGGAGGCACCGTCTACAAGGTCCGCCACAAGGTCACTTCCGCCATCTACGCGCTGAAAGTCATCCACAGCGTCACCGACTCCACTACGCGCCGCCGTGCTCTGTCGGAAAGCACCATCCTCAGCCGCGCCGCCGATTGCCCCCACGTCGTTCGCTACCACGGGTCCTTCGAGAAGCCCTCCGGCGACGTGGAAATTCTAATGGAGTACGTGGACGGTGGCAGCCTCGAAACCGCCCTGAAAAAAGACGGCACGTTCTCGGAAGAGAGACTGGCAGCGGTGGCGCGTGACGTGCTCAACGGCCTCGCGTACCTGCACGCGCGCAAGATCGCGCACCGTGACATCAAGCCGGCGAACATCCTCGTAAACACCGAAGGGGAAGTTAAGATTGCGGACTTTGGTGTCAGCAAGCTCCTGTGTCGCACGCTCGAATCGTGTAATTCTTACGTTGGCACGTGCGCGTACATGAGTCCCGAACGGTTCGACCCGGATGCTTATGGTGGGAACTATAACGGTTTTGCTGCGGATATATGGAGTTTGGGTTTGACCCTTTTTGAACTCTTTGTGGGTCACTTCCCTTTCCTTCAGGCGGGTCAGAGACCCGATTGGTCCACCCTTATCTGTGCCGTGTGCTTCGGCGACGCCCCGAGCCTCCCCGAGACTGCGTCGCCGGAGTTTCGCAGCTTCGTCCAGTGTTGCCTCAAGAAGGAGTCCGGTGAGAGGTGGACGGCGGCTCAGCTGTTGACCCACCCGTTTGTGTGCAAAGCCCCGAATCCGTGTTAATTGGGTAGATATGATCGGGTCGGGCCTAGGTAGCACTAGAAGTAGCCCTTTTGAGTTTATGTATATATTCCCCGGATTCAATTTTTTTCGGATTTTAAGAAAACCATTCCCTCTTGTAAGTATTTTTCTCTCCACTCTTGAGGGAAGAAAACCATGAATCATGTTGAATGAAATTAACTGCATCATCAATTCTAAATTTGTCTTTATAGTTTAATTTTGAGTTCATTTTAAATAACTACAACTAGTTTTTTAAAAGTGTTATCATATTAAGAGGAATAGGAACAAGAATGAAAAGGAGTAGATAAGGCAAATGGGTAGAAATGCATGAAGTGAAGGTGGAACACTCTCTGTCTTGACACCATCATTGCTCTCGTCATTTCTTTTGGACCTTTTCGTATGCACCCACCCACTTCATGTTTGGTGCACTAAACATTGTCTTATTGAATAAAACGTGAAAAATAATGACATAAAAAGGAAATTAAAAAGCATGATGAAAACAGAAGAAACACGTTTTCATTATTTTATTAGATAAAATGAGAGAGAGAAAACAAAAATAAAGTTGTGATTCTGTAAAGTATCTACTTATTTTTGTATACTTGGAAGATTGATATCTTAAAGTATGGCCACGGGTTAAGGGTGAAAACTTTTTAGTTTTAATTACATTTTTATTTTTATAATTTTAGTTACTTAAATATTAAATTTCTATAATTATTTAATTGTTTAAATTAAGCCATTTATTTTAGTTCTTTTAATAATTAATAAAAATATAGTAGAAACATGGTATGTTAAATTTGCATGTTAACTAAAGTAAAATAATAATAATTCAATTAAATACTTTTTTAACTATATTTTCCTTATATATGGATTTTGGAATTAAATTAAGAATACATTTTAATGAATTATAGCTTCTTTTCATATTAAAAAAAAAAACAATGGCAGCAAAAAAGTATTTATTAAAAATCAATTTTATTTAAGATCACATGTGTAATGAAATAGAGGCTTTTTACAGGAAATATTTCATCACAATATAATTAAAATACATCATTAATTTAAATTTTATTTTAATTATTGTATAAATTACTGGTTCATACTTGTATTACAATATAGATTTCATGATAAGTGTAAAAAATTATTATATGATTTATATATATAAACAATCAATGATTTAAGTTATTATTTATATTTATATATCATAAAATATAAATTTCAATTTTTTCATATTTTAATAGACTTGTAAATGTAAGTTTAATAAATTTCCTATTCTATAAAAATTTATATCAAAAGATACTCTCTTTTTTTTTTAGAAATTCTCTTTCCTTTACCCACGACTTCACTTAGAGAGAAAAAAAAAATATTTATACTAACATTCTAAAAAAATAATCACTCTTTCATTCATTATAGTAAAATAATGTTACTACTAACATAATTAAATAAAAAATTATTTTTTAACATTTGTTTACAATACTTATCTTTATTTTTTGTTATTGTATATTTAAGTTAGAATTAAAATTGTCTTCCATATTAAAAAAATTGTTTAATAAACTTTTTTCATTATCGTCATCGTTACTATCATTATCATAATCTAAATCTTCATATTTATTATTATATCTAATTTTTTTATTACAATAAATTCATAAATTTTAATTCTAACAATTATTTCGTTGATACAATTTGTAAATATCAAATTTATCTTTACAATAATAAATATTTACAAATATTTTATTATTTAACAATGAAAGTGATAAATTTAAGTCTATCGTTTAAAACAGAAATGATGAACTTTCGCTAATAACAACATTTACATATAACTCAATAACAAATTTATTAGATTGTTGATATGCATTCATCATGCACTCAATTTCTTTCTCATCACATGTTTGCAAAGTTGTATATTATCTAACATTTCTATCAATAAAAAAACATAAAATTAATTTAAAAATATTTTAACTATGACTATAATTAAATTTGAAATGAATTTTTTTAATACTTCAAAACTAACTCTCATTTTATCTAACTTATTTTCTTATTTCCTTTAAAATTCACTTATTTATAGATTTTACCGTTTTAATATACAATAATAACAATTATATTCATCTTTCATTTTTACAAATAACAATGAATTAATTCATTAAAATTTAATTCTAAATTAAAAATAATAATAATCATGCCTCTTAAATAAATACATTTTTACTTATTTAATTTAAATTAAATTAACTATAGTAATTAATTTCATTCTTATAAATTAAATAACAACAGTATATAATAAAAAATCTTAAATAGAACTAATCTTGTAAAGGTTTAAAAAATCTTTCTTCAAAATTTTTCAGATGAAAAATGTATCTAATATACTTAGGACAATTATTTTTGGACAAAAAACATGTACTCAGAAGGGGTCGTAAAAGTTCATCACAGAGTCCACAATGCTCAACAAGTTTTGCCATTAACATAGCAAAATTTGTCATATCATATCATGTGTTAATATTTTATAGTTAACGTGTATAAGTATTTTAAAGATAGTAATAATAATTTATTTGAATTTATAAAATTAAAATGCCATATACCTTTTAAATTTATTTCAATAATGTTGATGAATAAACATGTTAAAATAAATTCATATTTTTATAAGGAGAAAAATATGAAAAGAATGAGAAAATTTATAAAAAAAAAGAAAGAAGATATAAATTTGGCTAAAGATTATTAAAAAAAAAAGAGAGAGAAAAAGGATAAATAAAAGGTAATAGGGTAAAATCATATATTTGTTATTTAATATAGTTTGGAGATTTAAGTTTTAGAAGGTGGGTATAATATTTCTTTTATATTTATGGATTTTAAATTTGCTTATGATCACATGTTTGATGAATTATAGTTTCCTTTTAAGAAAAAAAAATACACAAATAAAATCAGGTTATTATTTGTAAATGTAAAATATAAATTTTAATTATTTTTTTATATTTTAATAAACTCTTAAATGTTATATAATTTTTTTATTTTGTAAAATTTTATATAATTTTTTCTTTCTTTTTACTCTCTCTCTCTCTCTCTCTCTCTCTTCACATCTATTAACAAAGAAGAAAGAAAAAGAAGAGAGAGAAAAAAAAAAAACAATAAATGCATAAGAGATAAGGGGTTAAATATAAATGTGAAATAATTTAGTTGAATTTATGAAAAAGGTTTACGTATTTTTAAAGTACATGCTCTTTAAAAATAAAAATGTTAGTAGCGTACTCTTTTAATACAATTTTGTTATTAATTAAAATTTATTAAAAATATAAAAATTACGAGTCTCGCTTTTTTTTACTTGTTAAGTTTACAATCAACTTATTTAAATAAGATTCATAATCTTAAGAGCAAATTTTTATTTGATAAAAAAATTATTAAATAAATACTTAATTAAACAATTTATTCAAGCACACCATTAGTTTTTTAAGATTAAAATCCAATAATAATGATACTTATTTAAAAATTAACACAATAAATTTTAACAAATCTATGATTTATTAGACTCAAGCAATTTTTTTTAACTGCAACCGTTTACAATTAAATATTTTTTATTTTTCATTTGACAATTAAAAAAATGTTTTTTTTAACTAATTGGAGGTTGAAACTCTTTGAATAGAGTATCTTATAATTGAATTTTCCGAGGAGGATTAATGAGGGAATTTGAAAGCATGGGTGTTTTAAAATCAATAAAATATTACTTAAGATCAATAATCACACAACAAAAATTAAATAAATTGAAAAAAAAAAACAAAAAAAAACACTTCAATGACTTTACTATGAAAATTTAGTGAGTATTTTATATCTTAAAAAGATAAAGGAAATAAATAATGAATTTATAGTTTAAATTTATTTCACTAAAAAAATTTTAAAATTTTGATTTAAATTTCTATATTGATTGAGTCAACCTTATATTTTTAGTTGATTTTCATATTTTGTTTTTTTATATTTTTATTAATTATACATGCAGCCCATTAACTTCGGACCCAAGGTACGCTAGATGCAAATCAGTAGCTTTATGGGCTTCTTTGTTTTTCGGGCCAACCCAATTCTTTATTTTCTCAGTTTGTTGCAGCCCAACCTGGCTTATGTATTATTGACCCAAAACAAAAATATAACCCGCCTTTGTATTATTATTTTTATTTGATTTAATTTAGATCTGACTCAGATTATGCATTTCGACGTGGTGGATGAGTCTATTATTAGAGATCTTTAGCATATAACAAGACTCAAATCTTAGACCTTGCTTAAGATATACCAAACCGTTTGCTACGCAAATCAATCTCGATTAGTGCCTATGTATTAATTTTGTTTGGTAAAAGAAATTAATTAAAAATAATTTTAGTTATAAAATAGTAAATAAAAACAAACTTTGCCCTAATAAATAAGCTAATCTCACACTTCAATCATTACTGATTTGATCCCTAAAATCTTATCATAAAAGTTTTAACATAAAGTTTTTTATACAATTTCTTAGGTAAAAAACAAAACAAAATAAAATAAGGAGCATGTCATACTTTTATTTGTGATAAGATGCTGCTCTCATTTCTTAAAATAAGTAATGCTAATTATTGTAAGATGTTAAGATAATAAACAAGAGTAAAAAAATTTTCATTGAGTATGAATAAAAACATTGAATAATATATAAATAATAACAATAAATAATCTAATGCTTTAAAGTTATGTATTAAAAGTGAGATTCAAATCTATTTATATGATTTATTTATGTTCATTCAAAGAAATATATTAGATGTTTTAATCCTCTTACCCCATCCTAGCAATGAAATATATTACATAAATTGCGTTTACATGTATTATATTATTTGGTATACACATGTTCATAATAGGAACCACACCTAATCTTAAAACTTGGTGATCATGCTATTTACAATCACAAACAAAAAAGTTTTCTAATTTAAAAATCAGTTTTCTTTTTAGCTTCATTAGCACCAAGTGTTCTACTTTAATATTGAAAGCAATACACATGCACCTAAATCTTTTTTTTTTTACTATATACGTAGAAAATAATTTTATGATTATTAATTAAGATAAAATAATTGATCCACAAACTTAATAACACTTAATTAATTTACTATTTTAAGTTTATTTTATCGCCCCAAGTTTCCATGACCTACTCAAAGTCAAATCACAGGGATATATATATATAATATAAGTCCTAGTAAGCTTGCAGGATACACGAGGTTTTATAAAGTCATTATATTGTCTCTCATGATAGAAGTATGTAACTAAAAAATTAATTCCCATTCTATTAAGTATGATTAAACTCAGATCAATAAAAAAAATATATTAAATCATGTCAAAAACTATTTTTTTTGTTTAATAGAACAAATCACATGATACTTTTTTAATCTCTGCGTTTAGTTTTCAATATTATTATCTCAAAATAGAAAAAATAATAATAACAATTTTATTACTTAAAAAATTGAAAAACTAATTAACAATGACTAACAACTAATATATAGCAAAACACGACCAACAATAGATTCAGTGGGCAGAAACGAGTAGAGACATTTGAGGAAGGAGTAGTAAGAAATCTCACATCTTATTTTAAACATATATTTTTTAATAATTTAATTAAAATGCATGGTAAGTATACATTTGTTTACACTGTTATGCATTATTAAAAATATTTAATTTTTGTAATAATTAATATAAAAAATATATCTATTATGTATTTTAAATAGATGATAATATAAATTTTTTTATACTAATAATAACTTAAATTAAAATTTATTAAAAACTATAAAGTATAAGTGAAAATTATAAGAGAGAAACTTACATTATTTTTCACAATAATTTTAATTAATAATAAAAAGATTTTATATATTTAAAAGAATATATTAAAAAGCATATTAGGGAATTTTTGTTCGAAGCATGACAGCTGTTGAAAATAATGTTCCTACCATCATTGGTTAGGTTCGTCCAATGCAGAATGCCTGGATTAATCCCAATGCAGTTTCTCATTCTCACTGAAATCCAAAGAACACCATTATTAGTTTAATAAAAAAATATTTAATTGACGTCATTTTCTCTAAAATCTTTGCAATAATATCTTTTCACAGTCACACTCACATGAAGTCCAATCCATCAAGCAATTGTTTATAGATTTCCTCAAACTTATCCTAGACATTCAGCCAAATGCTACAAACGAAAAGCGAGATTCATAATTGCACGTTCCCTTTTGTTTTCTCCAGCTGAGAGAATCATATCATAATTCGTAACTCAGATTCAGATTCACCCTTTCTTCTTCACCTCTCCCTTTACTTTTCTGTGCAGAAAGTTGTAATTTTTCCTTCAAAAATGGCATCTTTGAGCATGGCGCAGATCAAAGTTGGGAATTCTGCATCTGTGTTTGCCTTGAATTGGCCTAAGAATGTTCAGGCTGGTCCAAACAGAGTTGGGATTAAGGTGTTTGCTTCCGAGGCTAAGGCTTCAGAGCCTGATCTTAGTGTCACTGTGAATGGATTGCACATGCCTAACCCCTTTGTTATTGGGTCAGGTCCACCTGGAACTAATTACACTGTCATGAAGAGGGCCTTTGATGAAGGTTGGGGTGCTGTGATTGCCAAAACTGTAAGCTTTCATTTCATTTACATTACACCAACCATTTTTGTATTACTTAGTTTGTCTCAACTCATTTTATGTGTTTGGTTTTTGGTTAGAGTGTGTTTGGATAATAAAATTTTGTGTTGTGAATTGTGATTTAATGTTGTTGTTCTTTTAACTAGTTATTATTATAGGCCACAGATCTTCATGGTTTATTAGACACCCTTAATAGTTTGACACTTGGATATATGATCCTGGTAGATCATCAATTTAGCACAGTTGAATCTTGAATTATTGTTGATTATGTGTGCAATATACTGATTTCGCCTGGCTCTGGAGAGAATCCTTGGATCTTATTTTGATGTATTTTATTCTTTTGGTTTATTTCATTTTTCAAAGAGGAAATTTAGATCAGTGGATTGAAACTATTACCTATCATCTTCTTTCTTAAGAAGTTAAAAGGGTATAGTTGCAGAGAACGTAGAATTTCATGAAAGGATCACCAAATTAGGGGGAAAGATGAGGTGTAATCAATGTAGTGATAAAGACGCAAGTGTGGGAAATGCACATGGTGCTGCAATAATAAACTATTAGCTTGGTTTATGTGCATATGTGCATGACACATGGCATGAAAGGAATATTGACTATTACAGCATAATCAGTCTTTAATATTATAGTAGTAGTTGTTGAAGTGGGAGAATTGTCTACTTCTTAAAGGCTGTTTATGATTAAGTTGTTATGTACACAGCTCATGAATTTTAGGCAGGCATAAAAATCAGAAGCATGAATCCTCAAAATGCTGTCTTTTTTGATAAATCCTTTGGCTTAAAGCAATCAACTTTCCACTTTTTTTTTGTTTAGTTTGAAAATAAGGGAGGAAAAATAATATATTTTTTTTGTCAGAAATAACGTTGGTTATAGCTTTGGGATAATGTGCTCACATGTTCCTTCTTCATATGTGCTTGATGCAGAATTTGGAACGCTATATATATTTTTTTTCTGACTGTTAAATTGGATACTCATAAGATTCCTCGCCATAAAAAATGTGAAATATTTGGTAAAAGGGTCTTTTCTTGGCTTTCAGCTGTTGACAATTTGAATCAAAACATTTTCTTGATTTATGGATCATATGTACCATATCATGGAGGAATGAGGATGCTTTCTTTTGTATGGTAAATTTGCATCAGCAGGGGTTTGGTCTTCAGAGTAATGTTGATTTTTGTGGTGAAATTGTTATTTTTCCAAGATGTGGATTAATATAGATGTTCTTTTCATACTTGTATGCTCTAACTAAGCATTTAGAGTTAATTGCCTGGTTGGGATTCTATAGTTATAATTCCAATTGGGATATGCATTCTATAGTGATTATTTGTATTTGGATTTGATATTTCCCTTGCTAGGTATCACTTGATGCAGCAAAAGTTATAAATGTAACTCCTCGGTATGCCAGACTACGGGCAGGTGCAAATGGATCTGCAAAAGGAGAAATTATAGGGTGGGAGAACATAGAACTTATCAGTGATAGGCCACTAGAAACTATGTTAAAGGAATTCAAGCAATTAAAAGAAGAATTTCCAGACAGAATTCTCATTGCTTCAATCATGGAGGAGTACAATAAGGCTGCTTGGGAGGAGCTTATTGACCGAGTTGAGCAAACTGGAGCTGTAAGATTGTGTTTCTTGGTTGAATATTTTTCCAGCATTTCTGATAGCTAACCTCTCTGACATTCTTTTAGGATGCAATTGAAATAAATTTCTCCTGTCCTCATGGTATGCCGGAACGCAAAATGGGCGCTGCTGTTGGCCAAGATTGTGCTCTTCTTGAAGAGGTTTGTGGATGGATAAATGCTAAAGCCACGGTTCCTGTTTGGGCTAAGATGACTCCCAACATAACTGATATTTCTCAGGTTGGCTTTGTATCTAGTCCTTTTGTCATACTCTAACTATATTCCAATGTTTAAGAAGTTAAAACTTGTTCACTCATCAAATTTTAGATTTGTTTTGTGTGGAATGGATCCAGTACCTCATGTAAACATTTTTTATGGACTTTGTACATGTCACATACTCAGGGACCGGAAGAAACTGCTTTAATGAGCCTCTTTGACTTGTATGCAAATGCGTACTGTTCTTGAGCCAAAAACCATGTTTTGTACCAAAGTTACATGTTTTTCTCATGTCCCTTTCATGTGAAATGTCTTGTGAACTTACTGATGCAAGTTTCACTTCAATTGGTAAATGTGTATCGCTTTGTAAGTCTTTCATGATTATCATGTTAGTAATTTGGGATGCTTCTGCTTATAGCCAGCAAGAGTTGCTCTTAGTTCAGGATGTGAGGGAGTATCCGCCATCAACACAATCATGAGTGTCATGGGAATCAATCTCAATACATTACGTCCTGAGCCTTGTGTTGAAGGGTTTGCAATCTCACTTAGAGCAAATTCATAACTTTGCCTTGCTTTTTGAATCATGTTAAGTACCTAATTTCTCTAAATTTTGTTGTTAGGTACTCAACACCTGGAGGTTATTCTGCAAGGGCAGTGCACCCCATTGCACTTGGGAAGGTGATGAGTATTGCAAAAATGATGAAATCAGAGTTTGATAGTGAGAACTATTCACTTTCTGCCATTGGTGGTGTTGAGACAGGTGGTGATGCTGCTGAATTTATTCTTCTTGGGGCTAACACTGTTCAGGTATCGTGAACTAATCACTTTTTAGGCCTTATTAATACTTACAATTACCATAGGACATTCTATACTTTGGTCCGCTAGGTTCCTCCTTGAGTCCTTGTTCAATGGAAAATAATATTAGTTAATCCAAACGCACACTAGGGCTCAGTTTGAGTAAGCTTCTAAAAAAGCACTTGTAGTAAAAGAAAATAATGAGATAAAAAAAAAAAACTCTTCTCATAAGTTAAAATCAACTTATGCATTTTAATATTTTACAAAGTTAATTGAAAAATCTTTTGGAAGAGTAGAAGAACTTTAGTTGATTTTAATTCACAGAAGTTTGATTTATTTTACTTTTTAATTTTTGTTTCCTATAAGTACTTATTGAGAAATTAATCCAAGCTGAACTTAAGTAAGCAAGTTTTTTAAAATGTAGGTGTGCACTGGTGTTATGATGCATGGCTATGGTCTTGTGAAGAAACTGTGTGATGAGCTTAAAGACTTCATGAAAAAGCACAATTTCACATCAATAGAAGATTTCAGAGGGTATGGTTTTAATTTGATATGGTTTCATATAGCTTATCCAAACACATAACAAAGGTAAGTATGCTAACTTTTTCCCTTTTTTATATAACATAATTTTGTTTATGAAAATCACAGGGTTTCTCTTCAATATTTTACCACTCACACTGAATTGGTGCAAAGGCAGCAAGAAGCAATTAGGCAGAGAAAAGCCATAAGGAAAGGGTTGCAATCTGACAAAGATTGGACAGGAGATGGTTTTGTGAAAGAAAGTGAAAGCATGGTTTCTAACTGAAAATGTGCAATAAAAAGAATAAGCATCCTTTCTAATATGATTACACGTTCATGCAAATAGGGCACTGAAGGACATTATCCCTTGTTGTTAATAATGGATATTTATCTTTTTAAAGAACATTATGATGTATTTTATGTGAGGAAATAATGGAAGTATACTTAAGAAAATTCTGGGAAAATGCTCATTAACCTTGTGTAGCATTTTTTGGGCAACCAACAGTATCCTTGATGCACTTGAATAAGATGAAGTGCTCAAAAGTAGTTGCTGACATTTAATTTTAAAAATAATAATTTTTGCACCATTTTCATTATTTAATTTTCGGAGGTGATTAATATATTTTGAATTTTTGTTTCCAGAAAAAAGAGATGCTGTAATTAGAAGAAAAAAAAAGTTGGTGCAGAAAAGAAAAAGCCTATTGGGTTTTTGTTAGGAAATAGTGGGTCCAAAGTTGATTTTTTTAACAATGTCCAAACTTTATTTGTAAGGAGATTTCTTTTCTATTTTTCTTAGTTGCCCATGGACCAAAAGTGTAATGGGCCAGCTTTTCTTAACTTGACTATGTTGCTATTGGGCTTCTTGTTGTTTATCGTTGATACTTTTTTCTTTCTTTCCTAGTTTAAACAATAAAAAAGTAAAGTTAAGAAAATAAGTGAAAAATTAAGGAAAAAAAACCAAAAAAACAACAAACACAAACTTTGATTGAAGTTCTTATGTTGTTTTGGTAAGAGTTAATTTATTGCTTTTGTATTTTGTTTACTTAATTCTCTTTGTAATTATGTCAATTACTGTGTTGATTGACTGAAGATAAGCCATCTTTGACAATTTGTTTTGAAAATTCTAATTTTTATTTAATTAATAAAAAATTGAATTACCATTACCAACAACTATTTTATAAGAATTACATAATGTTAAACTCTCATTATACTTTTGAAATACGTAGTTACAAAATATTTATTTTATTTAAGTTGTATAGTTTATAAATTATATAACGATAACCAACAAGCAAATCGAGCTCATACCAAACGCAATTCCAACCTCCAAAACTTACACATCAGCCACTAAATAGAAGATAATGTAAATTTATGTTGTGGCTCATAATGTTGCAGTGTGTTATTCTGCTTGTATATATTATTATGACCAAGAGTGAGCTTATATATATATATATATACAGCCAACAAAGTGCTGTGGCGTTAAATTTCAAAAAAATCATTTTTTATTTAAACTTTTAATAACAAAACTGTTATTTTACTTTTATTCTATTTAATATTTTTTTTTCATTATTCTTATATGAATGTTTAAAAACAACATACAAAATAATTTTTTAAAGATTTTTTTTAAAATCATACAATCTCTTATCTTTTGACCTATTACTAACTTGCCATGCTAAACGGTTTCTAAAACTAAACGTAATGGTCTCTGAGTTATGTGACAAGACCACTTGGAAACTAAGTTAAGAGCTAAAAATATATAAGATAGCCTATATGTGACGAATAAATGAGAGGCAGATTCGTGGTGGTTTTGATAACCAAAAAAAAAAAATGTTAAAATATTATTAGTATATATCCTAAAGATACTAATTTTAAAGAATAAGAATATAAAAATTTTATAAAAATATATTATAATCAATGTACTTAAGTCTCAACATTTATTAACAAGCTCAATTGCTAATAACTCCCCCTTTCTTTCTTCTAAAATGAACATCTCATTTTAGGTTAGCTTAATTACTCCGAGGTAGCTTCATGTATTGCTATGGTAAAAGGAAGCATATTATAGTAGATTTAAACCGCAATTTATACATAACAGTTATGCCCCTTAATTTCACATATAATATATGATTTAGGCTTTAACAAGGGACTTGACAATTTGAGAAGAATTGAATCCTTAAAAACCTAGCTGGAAAATATTACATTGCCATGCCATGCACACCGAAAAAGAGGACCTCTAAATTGCAGGGTTTCTTCTGAATTTGCACTCACTAGAAGATGTTGTAGCTGCTGGTTCAGTAGGTGTAGCCATTGTTGCTTTAGTGAGCTCCCTAAGTTGTGAATGCATGTTGTTTATGAAAGTCATGGACTTCTGTTGTGGCTCTTCCATTGCTTCTTTAAGCTTCCCAAGTGCCAAGCAATATGCTTCCTAGTTCAACCACACATAACCACTTTATCCATAATAATCAAATCTTATAAATAACCCTATACATCAATTGATTGTGTCTAAGTTATTCTATGGGGTAAATAACTTCAACCTAAGTAAACTAATGAGATTTTTTCTCTTAAAAAATGATATAATCTCAATACAATATCTTAACTTTATCAATATGAAGTTATTTATTCTGAGGTAACTTACGCAAACTTATGCCAATTTTTTTTTCACTATCAAATTATTTATTAATATTATATATCATACTTTTACTATAGATGTGTAATAATTGTACTAACAATTTTACTTTATTAGCCAAATTCTGTACTCTATACTAACAAGACAAGTTTAACGGCTAAATCATAGGAATTTTATTTTTTTTTGGTAGTGTGTACTCTTTATATAACTCTAGAGTTTTAAGTATTATGATAAGTTGCCTCGAAGAAGGGTGTCCTATGGTGAAAGTGAACACAAACTGGTGAAAATGAAGGAGAAGAAAATGACAATTATATATGTCTACTGGTGATATAAGGTTGTTTTTTAAAGCCTTTTCACTTTAATTCATACAAGCTCCAGACTACTTTTAAATTAATTTCAATTTTGACAAGAAAAGTATTTTTCTTGGCACTTAAATGTAATTTCTTTATTATTCTAATTGAAATACTAAAACTCAACAGTTGATATATTTTAATTTTCAGAAATAGAAATGCAAATTGGTATCTTTAAAAAGAGAGCCAAAGATTAAAAAAAAATGAAAGTTTAAAGGTCTCATGAAAATTCAATGTAAAATTAAAATGGTTATAGAATAATACAGTCTATAGGGTTAAATATATTTTTATTCTTTAAAATATATTAAAATTTGATTTTAGTATTATAATGTTTTTTAGTCTTCACGTTTTAAAAAATCATTGTTTTAGTCAACAATGACATGATTAACTTAGATATTATTTCGTGTCAATTTTTATATTATAAATTATTTTATGAAATTATATTGATGAAAAATGCTAAAATCAATAATATTTAAAAATATCTAAATAAAAATAATAATTTTAATTTTTAAAGACTAAAATAAAAATTCAATATCTGTGTTTAATTATGAATATACATTATGTAGCATATTTGCTTATATTCACAGCAACGTAAACAATGAAGATAGCCACAAACCTTATATCAAATGAGTGAATATTTGCTTCGATCTAGTTCTACCAGAGTTATATCTGAGTTTATATCAGGTTTTCCCCTCTCCATCACCCTTTTTCACAAAACTTATATACTATTTCATAAGTATTGAATGTGATATTTATCGGTTAAAATTAAAATTTCATTTTAATAAAATAATTATATTTAATGTAACTATAAACTACTAAAATAAAACTTTAATCTTAATGAAAAAATTAATAACACGAGCATGTCTGACAATTACAAACAGTCAAAGGAATATCCATTAAGAAATGATTTATTAGATTTTTTTTCTTGAAAATTTTAAAATAAACAAAATGATAAATGCAGATAGAAAACCAACCAGAATCCCATGTCACAGGTTTTAGAAGCACTTTATAAATAGAAGGCTCCTCAGTTAAATGCTAACTTTTGTTTTCTAAAAGGCTCAATCATTGACTTTTTACTGTTATTTGCATTTATAGGTTGAGTTAAAAAAAAATATCCCCTTACCTAACACTATTTTTTATTTTAACTTCTATATAAAAAAACCTATTTTCTGGTTCTCATAAAATATTTATAAATTAATTCTACTTATCATTTGTCAACTAACAATGTTAGATTTAATTTTTATACCTTAACAATTTTTCGTTTTAATTTTTACGTACAAATAATTTACACTTAGTTTTTGGATTAATTTTTTTATCTTAACTTTTACATGTAACACATTATTTTTTATTTAGAACTTTACATAAAAATATTAATATGGTTATACTTTTGACAATGACAATAATTAATTTAATTTTTTTCATTATGGACTAAAAATACAAAATTGTTTCTTTAAATATTTTTTATTTTTTTATAATATATCATATTTTGATTTTACTTCCTACATTTTTAAAAATTATTAATTATTAATATTTTTTATGAAGTGTGTTAAAAAATGACACATAACAAATCGGAACATTTAAGTTAATCATGTCATCATTGTTAAAGACAGATTAATAATTTTAAAAATATAAAAATAAAAAAAATTATAGACTAAAAATAATGTATATTAAGAAATAAAAATATTTAACTTTTTATTTAATACAAAAATTGAAACGAAAATCATGTTAAATATAAAGACAAATTTTAAATTAGCCCTCTCTCTGTGTATCGTCATAACTATAAATCCTTATCTTTTCGTGTATTTTAGTTTTTCTAAACCTCTCATGCTGTCATGGGTGATATATATTATATAATATCTACTTGGAAAGCAAAACATAAAATATTATATTTGAAATTAGCAACTCACATTACATATAATTATCAAGCTATTTCTCATTCAACTAAGAGTTGGAAATCAACAACTCTTCCCTCAAGTATATTGAAGCTCATAAATTCTTTCAACATAAAAGTTTCCACAAGTAGCTGCAGACGGTGGGTCTAATAAGTCTCCTAAAAATGAGCAATTCAAAGTGATGCAATGTGCAGTCCATTCAAAGTTCTATGCTACTTTGACAAATTCATGTCTCAGTCAGAGATAATGACAGCTACCACTTTTTCTGAGTAAATATTTAATGATAGCATTGCCCATTTGTGATGTGTTGGATTTTTTACCCCAAAATTAGCAATAAATTTTCTGAGAAATTGCTATTTGCTATTCAGCATTGGCCTATAGTTTTGTCCTTTTAGAATTTTAGTCACTTTTTAAAATAAATTTTAAGCATTTTAAAATATTTTTTAAATAGTTAAAATTAACCTTTTTTAAAAAAAATGACATTATTAGAATTATTTTAATTTTTAGACATGAAAACTAACAACTTCATGCAGAAAAGTTGGGGGGTTAAAAGACTTAAATATCATATAATAATAAAAATAAAATAATAATAAAACGAGTAATATTTATCATAGGGACATATGAGAATGACATGGGAATTTATGGCATTGCCATTTATATGGTAAGTAAGCAAGCTCTATTCAGTAATAACTGGCCTAAAGTATATGTGAAAAGACACGATCTGAATACTAGCACAAACACAGAGACAGATAGGAAAAATGTCACAGTCATGGAATTGGAACAAAAAACTATGCGCATTTCTAAGTGTAGTCTCTTTCATGCAGGAAGCACATGCTTTACCCAACCATGAAGTGTCCATCAGAATGCAGAAAATTCTTCCCATATGTTGTTAAGTTTTTTGACCAACTTTTCATTAAGGTCTTGACTCATCCACCATAGCAACCTCTTAAAACATTCATTCATTATTTGGTATAATGTAAAGTAACAAACTCACACAAGAGAGTGTGTATGAAGTACCATGAAGAGATCAAGCTCAGATTGGCTGAACATGCCCAGGTTTTGTTTCTTGGTTGCTTGCATCTGATCCATTTTCAGCTCATTGTCCAAGTTTGAAATGTCTCCAACCTGAAAAGAAGTGTTAACAAATGGATTACACCATGCATCTTCAAAGTTTCATGCTTAAATAATTGAATGAATGAATGAGCTTTTGTTCTATGGTATATATCTTGTGTGTACATGGTGCACCAATTAACAAGCTAATCTACATTTTATCAACTAAGTCTATAAGTGGCTTCATTTTTGTAAGGATTTATAAATATATGTTCATGCTCAAATTAACTGAACAAGCTCTTGGTTTCTGATTACGATATATGTATATCTTCCATATGGTAATTAAGGATGACCAACAAGTTTAATCTCACTAGTTAAGGCTAAAGAGTGCTTGAATCTGCTTTTTCTTATACTTTTTCTTTGGTTAATTGGACCCTTAATTCATTCATATGATCGCAACTTTCAATAAACAACTGAACTATAAGATTAATCAGCCGGCAACAAACTGAATTTGAGCTTCCGCATATATATCCATTTAACTTGCTCCCTTCTTCACTGTATGATATAAGCTTATACAATTCAATCTGCAGTATATATAACCCGGTCTCTTTTCATCAAGATTCAACAAGTCGAATAAGATGAATCAAAGTTCTCATCTACAAGTGAAATTAAGGAAAGAAAAACCCAAAAGACACATTCTCTCTTCAAAATCACCTTGAGAAAGAACATGATAAATTTGAGTCACATCTTACTTTTACATGATCAATTTAAGAAGCATAAACATATACATAACACATAAATTAATATGCACTGAGGGTGGAAAGAAGTATATATGTAGAACTTAGAAGAAGGAAAGAAAGAGAAAGCGAGAGAGAGAGAGAGAGAGAGAGAGAGTGAGAGAGAGAGAGAGACCTTCAAACAATCTAAGTGAGCTTCAACAAGCAAACCGTAGAGGGGGTGGCTAGAGATTCTTCTCTTGAGGATCTCATTGTTTTCCTCCTCTTGTTGTTGTTGTTGGTGATCTTCATGGTTGTAGTTGTCAACAATAGTGTTAGGCCTCTTAGATTCCATATCTAGTTAATTCTGAGAAGAGGGAGGGAACCTATGATATACCAAGTGGAGATAGCTAGGTAGCTAACAAGAGATATTAATAATAGTAACAATAATAAAAATGAAAAGGGTATTATATATATATATATCTGAGATTTGAAATGTGATGTACTATATATGGTGGTGGATGAAGATGATGAGGTCAGTGAGATTGAGATGCTCCCACTTTTGGAAGTAATGGAAGAGAATGAGGAATGCATGCATACGTGGAGTGGAGGGTGTGAGAGGGGTGTGGTGTGGCCTTTTTGCTTCCTCTGTTTCCCCTGTCTTTTTGCACTCATGAAAGCAACGCTTCAAAGTTTTCTCGAGCAATGGGGTGGCTTTGTTAGTACACTCACTGCTTCACCTTCAGTTTTGTGTCTTTTTCTTTTTCCACTTTTTTACTAAGTCATTCATTCTCTTCCTTTCCCTTCTCCCCAACCCAATCAGCCAAATCTCAAACTGTTCACTTTCGTTCCCTTCTTACTTATCTCTTTCCTCCAAATTCCTGTTTCCGTTACTGTTTTGTGGTCCTATCTACTATAGGACAATTGTTTACTATAATTTTAGATAAAGGACAATCCCCTTCCTAAAAGTCTTGCTTTTTATATTCAATGTAAGCCCTTGCATTCTCTCTTTCTTTAAACATTTTTCTTTCATCAGTCTCATTCTCATTTTAATATCTCACCTTTTTTTTCATATGTATAAGGCATCTTTAGCTCACAGTCAAAAGTTAATCCATTGAGATATACAAATTATTGAAATAAATTTTATCTTTCTTTAGTAAAACCTTTTTTGTGTATATAATAATATATTTCAGAAAGGGTTTTGTAAAGTAGTGTCTTTGAAGCATTGGTTAAGCAATTCAAAATTATAAATTATTATTAAAAATTATGTCAAATTACAGTAAAAATCATAAAAAGAGATGAATTTCTTTTTTCAACCAATCTTTTTGTTTGGTTTTTAATAACACTGGTTAGTATTTACCTTTAAGAAATACAGTTATTTATTAAATATATTAAAATTTTAAAAAAGTTGTTTGGAAGGGGTTATAGAGAAGAGAACATATAAAAATAGCTTATGAATTTTACTTTATTTTATTTTAATAATTTTTTAAAAACGAAGTTAATTACATTTATGACATAAATTATTCTTTAAATACAAATTATTGAAAAAACAGTTAATTAAATTATATACATCTGAATACACTAATTATTAAGTTTAATATGAGGGGTTTAATCACTACAAATAGTGACTATTAAAAAAGAAAGAAAAAAATGTACACATAAAGAGAGGGAGAGAGCTATTAAGAACATGGGTATATCATTTAAATGATTTGTTTATGGAAGTTCTAAATGTTAGATCTATTAATTAATTTTGTTAATATTCACCACCTTGATATTTAAAAAAGAAGAAGAAGGGGTAGGGATTTCTGGTGAGGAATGAACGTGCATCGCCTCAACTTAATTGATAATTGCATTTGATTATGCCACCAAATGAGCTAACAGACAAAATCAAGGATTCAATTAAGGTTTGATCTTGCTGGTCTGACTTTTGGGAAAAGGTATGATCATTGTGCCACTAAATCATTTAAGGATATAGAATCATGTCCACAAGCTAATGGTAAAAACTATATTTTTAACATGTTTCTACTTTTCATCCATTACACCTAAACTTTAGGAGTGAACATTATAAATTATCCGACACTATTTTCAAGTTTAATTATTCTAAATAGTATTGATTTAATAATGTCATTTTGCTTTGTTCAAAATATGCTATCAGACAAAGTTGAAGGACTACATGTATATGGAATCCTAGCTATCTATATGACAACAAAAACTAGGGATAGAATCAACCATTTCTTTGGATTTTTTTTGTTCACTTGTTGAAATTATTACAAGATGAAATATTAAACTTATTTAAAAAACCCAGATGAAGTACTTAATCAATAAAATATGAATTTAGGAAGGTTATGATGGCAGGAGATAGCTTTGGAATGGCTGCCCCGAATGATCATTGTCATGGGCCATGTACGATGAGCTTTCCACGGTTTCAGTGTTTGAGAGCCAAAGATTATTGACTGCTTCATTTTTACTACAAAAAGAAGCAAAAGATTGTATTGGGAAACTCTTTTTAATGGGATTACACTGTACCTACCTTGTCTGAATTCAACTACGACTCTTTTCTTTTCCTTTTTTTATTTTATTTTATTGTTTTTCCTTTCTTATATTTGGTCTTTTCAGTCAAATGGAATTTATACATACCCTTGCCTCTTGCTTTTCCTCTATGTAAGATGAACTTTTCATCCTTTGCCTTTGTTAGTCTTTTATATATTTAATATCAAAGTTTAATATAAAGGGTTGTAGTAGTTAGTATTCTAATATAAGATATTGATTAAGGGATAAATAAATTATAAATTTTTATTAAAAATTTCATTCGAATATAGCTATACAATTATTCAAGTTGGTGTATTTTTATTTTTAGTTCTTTAATCAGGATCTTTAAAATGTTGATTAATATTTTTCGAAAAAATAAGCAAAAGTAAAGATATTTGTGATATCTGATGATTAGTAATTTCGATCAATTTAAATAAAGGATGCTAAAAGTTGATTTATATTGTACTAACTCATGATGTTTAAGCATGCTAGTTTAGAAGAAATTAGTTAATATATTATAAAAAAATATTTTTTACCTCGTATAACACTGTATAAAATAAGAAGTTATGTCAATATAATTTAATATATTTATATTATTAAATACTATAAGTTTTAATAAAAAAATTACTGTATACTATTTCTTATCATTATAATATTAGTTTTAAAAAGTAAATAAAATAGTATATTTTATTTTATTTAAATTAAAGAGAACTGTTAATGCGTTACATATGAGGAGACACAATAAACATCTTTTGATAAAAGAAAAATTTTGAGAAAGGGAGAATAAATTGTTCTTTTTCAATATAAAGGCCTTGATTAACAAAGTCTTTTGCTAGCACTCATAAATGAATTATTAAATTAAACTAAATATTTTATTTTTTAATTAAATAATAAAAGGTAATTAATATATATATCAGTCATTGACAAATATTTTTACCAATTTCTCATATTAAAAGTAAATCTATGCTATTTTAGTGTAAATTTTAACATTACTAGTTCCTCCATGTTATCCTTATTTACCAATCTGTATATGTAGTTAATTTAGTTGTTATATTTTATGTGCTAAAAATATTGTAGTTTCTCTATCAATTAATTCGTATTGGTTAACAGAAGTTTTAAAGTTTTACTGAAGCTATATTTGATAAAAACTAATTGATAAGTTGGTTAAACGTTAAAAATTAATTAGAATATTAAATTTATTTATTTTTCATAAAATTGATTATCAAACTAGTCAATAAATATAAAATGACATAAAATACTTGTATTTTTTTATACAAACTTTAATCGTATTTTGTAGACAAAATATATTTTTATGCAGTTAAATTTATAGATTTTTAGTTCATTTTAAGTTCTTATCATTTCAAAGATAAAATATTTCATTTAAAATAAAATAAATAGTATATTAATTAAAATAAACAGTATAATATTAAAACAAAGAGACAAAAAAGGAAGTTTATTAAAATAATATGGATAAAAATAGAAAAAAATTCATAAACTATAAAATCAAATGGTATTTCAATTAATGTCTAAGAAATCATATAAACTCACTTACCAAACACTTTTTTTAGTCAAATAAATCTATAAACCTGTAAAGTAAGTAATAAAATACTTGAAATGACAAGTGAAATACATAATAAATTTGCACTAAAATAGACTTAAACATTGATAATTAGTTTGATGTGAAATAAAAAAAATTGAAAATTACTCCAAAACATTTTGGTTGACTCTCACTGTTAAATTTTCATGCACTTGAAGCCGCATGTGCAAATATATAAATTCCCTTTGGATTATTAGGGATATGTATCTGGATTTGGAGGTAGTGGTTAATGGTCCAATCATGCTTGTTACAACTTTGGAAACCATTTGTGATTTAGAATGGGCCCTAATAATAATAACTAATCTAATTCAAAATTTGGGCCCACTTGTACATTATTTTTGGCATGCCATTTATTAGGAGTTGACCAGAAAAAGAAAAAAAGTTCATTAAGAAAAATATAGGATTAGTGGTTACTTATTTTTTTGTTTTTCTTTTTGTGTGAGATGTTATATTACCTCTTTATTATTATTATTAATTTGTTTCACTCTAAGTCACATACCAAAAGGGAATTGATAAAACAGCAAAACCAAAATAATAAAAAGGAGTAATTAGAAGCAGAAGGGTAGGGACAGATACATTCAAAAGCAGATAGAAAAAAGAAAAGTGATAAAACAAGATGGCTAATTGCTCAATACAGGCCAATGTATTTATACACCAACATGAGAACTGACAAGGGCCAATTCCTAATTTAGCCAACCAAATCTATCACCTAACTTTGATCAAATCCAATAAATTATTAATGGGTGGAGATTCACAAGCTTCCTATATGAAAATAATAGCATTCCATAATGTTTACAGACACCACAACTGTCACAACTCTCCTATAATGGATTAAAGGCATGTTTAAATAATAACTTAATTAAACATAAATTAAAAAATTATTTGATAAATTATATAAAAATTTGAGAAAAAAAATTAAATTATACAGGTGTACACCTACTTTTCTATCGTTTAATAATTTTTGTTGGATTAATTCATTCTTAAAATCAATTTTTAGATTAAAGTTACCATCATATATGAATTGAATTTATAAAATTTTATATCAATTCATAGTTGTTTATTATTTTATTTGTATAAATTAATAATATATACTTCTGAAATTTATAATTTTTTTTATTATAATTGTTCAAAAATTTATATAATTTACATTGATATAATTTGTTTTCTTCTCAAAAAAATTATCAAAATAAAATGAAAAGGCTTACAAAAATCATAAAGTGTTTTCTTAA